CGCTCACATTAGTTCATTTATACTGGCAGATTGGGAGCTGCTGCCCTACAGCACCTCAGCGAAAGTCGATCGACATCATTGTAGTTGCCATGTAGACCGTTCTAACGTGAAAGACACTATTCGAGAGCTATCTGCTTCTCGGAGTAAATGGAGCTGTGTTTTTATTTAGTCAATCAGACGCTTTGATACGCTCGTGCAATATGCACGAAGAACTCATGTGAATCAGTTCTTCGATTATATTTTGAGGTATTATCTACGCTTTTTATACCTGACATTTTTGCATTTAGGGAACTTTTCGTTTCTACACGAAGAATTCTATACAAAGGGCAAGATTTGCACGACGTTTTCCGTAAAAGTCATGATGCAGTCGTTTACACGAACACCTAATACATCTAGTTGTAGACACAGAGGACACTGTATCACTTCCGATTGCTATAAGTTATGCAATTCATGGGCGGAGTGGGTACTGCAACCATTAAAGAAGCGTTTTGAAATGCCAAATACACTAGTAGCATACTAGTTGTAATAATACTTTATATATATTCCTCTGATCACTTTTGAGAAGAATACATCCAATACACCAACTGCATGCTGGTGTAGCAGCATGCAGCTACACCGAAGTTTTGTTAGCTGTCTCACACAGCACTAAAAATAAGTTTATTTATCGAAACGATACTGTTCGGGGGTCATCTTGTTGAACAGTTTACGTAGAAAATAGTTCCACCATGAGTAGTGCTCCCCAGGAAGTTGCTGCTTGAGCTTTGCCATCGTGTCAGCGTTTACACGAGCGTGTCGCTCTTCCTTGTCGTGTGATGCTGAATAGTCTTCAGTGGTAATTTTTGTGGACAGGTCTTCAACTCCACTTAGACGGATAATCACATATGTGTTCTTGCCATGCTGCAGATACACTCCCTCAATCGCTTCGGTGGTGTCCGGGCTCGTAAACACGATTTTCTTCGTTACAACGGAACCCGCGGGAATCAACTTTGAGTTGGCTCTTGCGAGGAGATAGGCCAAATTGGCCAAAAGTACATAATTCACACGCATAATTCTGTTGGCGTGGGGCTTGTGTCCTGGAGCGAGCAAATTGAGAAATAATTCCTTAAGTCACTGTTACTTGTCCATCTGATCGAAAGTAGCAAATCGTTGCCTTTTTTTCACTCTGACTACAGCTGGGATGATGGGATAGGCCGGTTCATTATTATACATGCTCTGAATGCCATAATTGGATGCAGTGCGAGAAAGAAAACGGTAGTATACAATATGGAAAAAATGCAGAATTGATGGCATGGCGCAATTATAGCTTAACATTCTCGTAACATCACTTGCAAGCATTAAGAAAATGGTGATGCTTATTCATGGTGTACATATTAATACCTGGTAGTGGAGACCAAGCTTCCACACGTGAAACCATCCGGTTCCAAATTTCCTTTGTCTGGAATTACAGCTGCTACAATAGTAGTACGCTACATGCGAATGTTGATGAGACACAAGAAGGTATTTAAGATGTCGCGTCAGCATGAAGTATAATAAACCAGACCGAGGCAAAAATACATTTTTGTGAATTGGTTAGGTATCATGCCGAACCAATTGACTATTGCTCTTGCAAGTACTAGAAATGCCACCCTTCCTTATGCAATTGTTTTTTTGTTCCTCCATCACATTCATTTCCCATTCTCCAGCTCCCGTAACTCCACTGTCGGAAAATATATGCCAGCGTAACCAGAGTCGGCTATGATTTTCTCACAAAATATTTGTCAACCTCCTTAATCAACCCAATCAGAAAGCTGATACCGACAACGCGTTGTTTTGAGAACGGGTAACCAAATTTGGTTACGACACATTTTCGCATTTAATTGGATCAAATATGGCCAACCAATCGACGGTGGAAACCCATTTACTGTATAGCATTTGTGTAACCGGACATGCAAAAAATGCATACAAGCAAAAAACTGACCAGTGAAGTTAAAACCTCAATTTCAAATTCAATACTTAAGCAAATCACATATGGCAACGTTACCTACTCGACATCTGCTTGAAGCCTGTCAATTATGTCGTCGGAGTCGTCAATAGTTTCTTCAACAACATTCGCCAGTTCCAATGCCTCCACCAAGTCGTTTTCCGGTTCTACAGTCTCAGTAACGGCGACAGCAGCACTGCTTCCGACCTTATGAAGACCTGAAAAGCCGCTTCGAATGACACTGCTGCCCAAACTACGCCATGAGCTCATAGCCCATGTGATTGCATCTTTTCGTTTCGGAGCAACTAGCTGGAAAGGGGTTTGCTCACGCTGCTCGTGGTGCGCTCGGAGCTGTTGCTGTAGTTCATTGACCCACTGACGTCGAAGCCGCTGTTTGAATGGACGAAACCACGAGATGTCTGCCGGTTGGCAGACCGAGGTGAGCCCTGGGGGAACCGGCATTAGATGCACACTTAGGTTTTTGGCGTGTTCTTTAACTTCATCTGTCCAATGGGCCGAAAAATCGTCCAGTAGAAGAAGGACTGGCAAGCATTCCTCGCGATTAGTGAAATGATAGTCTAAAAAACGAATGGACAGGTCCGATATCCACCAAGCAGACTCATTGCCATAAATCTGGGCACCCACAGCTTCAGAAAGTGGAGCTATCTCTTTCCACAACGTGTCTCCGAATCCGTTTTGCTTGACCGCGTTGTAAGCTGCCTTTACTTCCTTTTTTGATGGTTTGGTCCTTACAACGAAGAAAGGGTCGTACTGCTTACCGGTTGAGTCCGCCATAAACATACCCGTAAAACGTTCTTTGTCTTTTCCGCCGCATCTGACCCAGACAGTTTTCGGACCACGCTTGTTAATAGTTCGCTTAGGTAGGTATTCAAAACACACACCACTTTGGTCGGCGTTAAATATTTTGTCCACACCTAGTTCAATCGTGGTTTTTGCAACTTCCTCCCAAAATGCCTTTGCATCAGCCTCCATGGCCTCCGGCTTCTTTTGGCCTTGTCGAGTTTTAGCGCGTAGACTTAGCTTATGACGACGGAGAAACCCTTGCTGCCATGTCCAACTAGCTTCGAATATACCATCCGGGACCTTTTTCGTCTTCGGCTATGGTCTTGGCTTTAAGCTCCAGCATTAGCCTGGATACAGGGACGCCTTCCTCACGCAGTGACTTAATCCACTCGGTAATAGCTTCTTCACCTGCAGCAGAGATTGTAGTTGCAGTGCCTGCACCTCGAAGAACCTTCATACTGGCCTTGGTCGAGGACGTGCAGACAGATTCTATACGAGATCGATCTTTAATCCACTCGTAAATTCTTTTGCGTTTGTTTTCTTGCTTTTTTGCTGATAGATGGTCGTAAAACTTGTCTAACGTGGCGGGCATTCCGTTCGTGTCGTGAAAGGTGATCACCTCTAACCGCTTTGCGTACGAGTCGACCTCTCTCTGGTAGCTACTTGGCTGGCGTCCTCGCCCTCCGGGCGCACGCTTGCGGCCGCGCGTCATTGCATTCTGCCTAATTATGGCTACACAACAAAGAGCTGCGAAATGTACATAGCCCAATCAAAAATAGGTTAAAAATAGTCCTGTCCGCTTGAAGAAATGATCAATGGTGTCATTGTAACAAGGTTTTTTCTGTACATTTCGCGTTTGTGATTGGCTATTACGAGTGTCCGCTAGAACAAATTGTCCGGCTACACAAATGCTATACAGTACAGGCTTCAATTGCGCCGGCAGGCAAAATGTTGACTGAGATCTCTGCATAAACGCTAAAGGGGGCTCTACTAGCGCGGATGGTAAGCTCAATTGATTTTTATAGCACTGGTGGCAGCAGCAGCTTTCGCCTACAGCGACATCGATGGTGGACGGCCCTGCCTACTGAAGAACGACGAAGTCGTCCACCATTCACGACACGACGGGGATATCCGCTGTCGCAACCGTCTAGTAGCCGCTTGTTACCGAGTCAGCGGTGAGGGAGGTCGCAGCGCCATCTACCATTAGAGTCGCATCATGCAAATCTAATTGTTGGGTGGATATCGGTGTGGCTAACATCCATGAAGCCGGGGCCATGTATCGTTAGGACAAGCCAAACAAATGAAGTTGTATAATATATGAATATCATACTTGTTGTATTCTCGCACAATATGTGCGGTAAAAGCTACACACAGATCCAGCTGTTACTGCTTTCAACGAGGCTAAGGATCATCCTAATGAAGGAGCGTTATTGCGACGGGCTCTACTTGCTCTTTCAAATTACAAAAAGCCCAGTAAACCAGCAAATAGATTTATAGATAAAATGAAATTGTATCTTATTGTTGGCGCTCTTGTCTGAGGCTTACGGCTTACAGCGCAGACAAGGGCACTCACGAAGTGCAGCTTCCAGTGATTCTATTTTTGTCCAATCACACACCGTTACTTCAGCGTTACCACTTCAGGTTACGGATATCTAAACAAGTCATTATTTGCAGCTAATTGCTTCTTCTACAAGCCTATACAAATTTCGGATAACGTTTAAAAATGGAAGCTATAGTTGTGTTAATTGCAGGATCCCTTTTGTATTTTGCATTCTTTTCGCTGTAGATATTAGACAGTTGTTTGCTCTAGCACTAAGCCAAGGTGAGTCGACGGGCTGCAATTCAATAAAGTACGAGTACAAGACTCACAATATATTATCGTAAACCGCGGTCTCAAAGCGACAGGTGTAATATATTTACATACTATAAGTATTGTGGAAACCAACCAATATATCCAATTTATTTGCTAATCGACTGATTTAGAGCGCTAATAAGACAGATTATAAATATATATAAATGAACAGCAAGTTATTTTTAGTGACCAGTTATCTAAATTAGTGTCCGTAAATAATCCCATCTCGATTATATAAACATTGATTTTTCCGAATGCATCTGGAACATAAATAAACACGTAATGGAAAAGACACGCGCATGTGTTGCAGTTAAAGTTGGTGAGTTTGAACACACTAGCAGAACTAGTGAGCCTGTTGAGAATGCAGCGTTCGAGTACATTGCAGACAAGCTATAAGTGAACTAACTGACTCTCGAGTCCTCTCTACCGCTTAATATTATTTAAAAAGGCTAATTCTGATTAATACTCTGATTTACGACAATAAAACCTTTATTTAAAGTGACAACCTACTCCCTCTCAGAAAGCCAATCCAAAGGGACAAGTGATCACAATAAGTTTTACACTTATTTATCGGTAATAATACATGTGAGAAGAAATCTGACCACTAAAACACAAACATGTGGAGATTTGAAAATATTTGTTGAGAGTTTTCGTACAAATATTTTTAAGTGGGATGCCATCTCTATTTTTCTTGCAGTCGCTGGACGAAGCACAATCGTGAGGGTAAGTACAACTGCACCTCAGACCATCAAAGAGCCCATTAGAATCGCCAAGAATATCACCTGAATTTCACATTATTGTGCCTAAACGAATTACCTCGCAATTATTATGACCGTAAATTCTGTGTATACTACGGTGGTATACCTTATTGCGCATAGAATGTTCCAACACATGGAATTGACAATACTGATCTCGTTAGGAAGATAGTCGCTGATAGCACGCAGAGCGATGGTGTGGCTAATGTTGGCGGGCTGTCGGAAGTTTACGATTAACGTGTGAGCTTTTCATTGATGACAAGAAACGAAGCCATCGAATAAGGTGAATAGAACAAAACCCATGCGTCTATTCCCATCATTAGGCAACCTAACGACAACATTCGTTGTAACAGTACGGTGTTGTCGTAATACTTCAGCGGATTCACGCTACTGAAGTAACTTTGAAAGCTCGTTTTGGGGTTTAAATTCTGGGTTGTTGGCCTTGAACCTGGGTAAGTATGCTTTGAGCAGCATCTCTTCGCTTTTCGTGAGATGCCCTTTTTTCGTCAAACGGTCATACGCCTGGTTCGGTGTTTCTCCCTTCTTCTCCATGTGCTTTATTGCCTTCTCCAACCAGCTGTCTTTCAACTTGGCCCAGCTACCCTTCACCTTAGCGACCAACGCATTCGTATTCCACTTACCTTTCACGTTACGAAGCAAGTTTGTAAGCTTGGACGGGATAAGCCCTCGCTCCTCAGATCTCGCAGCCGAATTGTCAGTAGATGTCGTCAAATCTGCTGTCGTATCGCTTCGTAGAAACCGCTGGGAGGTATCATCATTCTCACCAAAAAGTAGACGGGTCGAAGTATCAAATTCCTTCGAAGGAAGATGCCCGAATTGAGTCTCATCCGAGTTAGCGGCGGCGGAGGTAGCACGGACACTCGAGAAGAAGGTGACTATAGTCGCAACGAAGATCCACATCAGCAAACGCATGCTTTAATCTTGAAGGGGGGTGGGTGCTGGGAGATAGAAGTCCAATTGCAAAATGATGCTTTGTTAGGAAACCATGTACTGTAGACAGCAATAGCTCAGTATAAAATATACGTCACGTATGGAACTGCGTATTTTTATGCTACTTCTGCTAAATATACAGTACTTAAAAGCCGTATTCAATGATCACGCACCGTACCGTAAACAAAGAGTTTCATTCAATCGTATACCTGATCCTGGGAGGCGCTCTTTGTTTATTGCACGCAGAAGAAAGCATGATCAAAGAGGAACGACGTGCTTTTTTTTTCAAGATATACTTAAGTACACTGAGCCCCTGTGTCAATATCTGGCAATGGTGAAAGATAATCTCTTCCTCTATAAACTTTATTGAAGTAACAAAAACTAACTTAATATGCATGGATTGAAAAAAAAAAAGAAATAGAGCCTACTCGCGTCTCAAACTTTAGGCTCTAGCTGCTACAGCATGCATATCTCCAAGAGAAAGTACCTAAAGAAAAATTAACAGATACAAAAACGTTTTGTGGAATCCGTTCATCAATGCATTTTGCTGTCAGTTTGACCTGTGTTACCCTTACCGGTTGCATCGCACCGCTAGCCGTTGAAGCCTGCGAAGCAAGTATAGGCACTCAAAGATGAACACAAGGCTACCTTAATACATGGTCTACTTGCACTCGCCGCAGGATCGCCGCACTAGCAAAATGGTTGGGAAATGATGGTGGAGAGGCAAGTCGTGATTACAATTTTCACCTAGAACCTACTCAATTTGACCTATTTCGCCGCTTCATTTGCGGCTGATTCGGCCCGTGAAGAGACTACGAAAGCTCGCTATAATGTACAAACGGTTGGCTACATAAGTAGTACGGATAGCCCAATAGGGGCTCTTTGGTGATCTCTACTTAATTTTAGCCATGCAGATTTCAGATGAATGCTCTTATTTAGTCATGATTTTGCATCGATGATTCCAGGTTTACTAATCGACGCAGGTAAATTCACCGAAAGCAATAAATTCTAACGGGATTGACCAATACTAGTAACTGTCTAGCTACGTCTTTTTTTTCAAAATGTTAATCATATTTGAGCTAATTATTAAAATATACAAGCGTATTAATACATGGGTAGCAACAACTACGTTCGAGCGTGCCAATAATGACGGAGATCATACAACATCCCCAAGAGCTTTGAGACCATTGCGGTCTAGGCCAGAAAGATTTCTTTCTGGTCAAGATCGCCTTCTTCAAGGTGCATCAAGTGTGCGCCAACGCATCTCGTCCGCAGAATGTACTTGTGCTGTAATCGTCTTGAGCATTCGTAGGCACTATTCACTGCTCCCAAATGCGCCCGCAGACGAGATCACTTCGATCATGACCTGTTTTCTCAGCATTTCGGCCTGAGCATCGCAACATTCTGTGAAAAGTTGCAACGTAAATTTGCACAGGTAATGATGCGTTACTGCGTAAAGTAGGTAAGTAAGTGAATGCGTAGATGCGTAGATGCAACAATCGCAACAGCTAGCTCTTTGCCACGGCGTCGAGGTCTGAGCTCGAAGAAGAGCGGGTACAGCCGCAGCAGAAGAGCTCGCTTACTGTGAAGGGTTTGCAGTAACTGCAATGCAGTTGTACAGAAAACTAATTAACGGATTGAAACTGTCCAATAATATCACAAAAATCCCAAAATCGCCTAACACTTAAAAGCGGATACCAAAAATCGTACTTATTACCGGTATGGACTAAAAAGAAATAATGTAACTACCGTCCCATAACTATTTGATACACCACTCTCAAACTTGCCTTCAAAATATTTTACTACAAGTAGTATCAAACACTGTTGCTTTGTCGAAACCTGCCTGGAAGCATTAAACCACCACACAGTATTTTCCTCAACTGCAACAAATCATGTTATCACTATAGTTTGCTGACTTTATCAGTACCGGCACCGAAGTGCTGGGACGCCAAAGCAACCACATCTTGTGCACATCCCCAATGCAGAGTGTGACCCGATCCGCCATGAGCGTAGTTGTGAATAACCTTAGCACCGCGTTGAGTTGAGCGTGGGTCCATTTCGAGACACACACCACCGGTTCGACCAGGACGCAGCCCTGCCACCGGTCCAACCACCTTGCTGTTGTGCACCTCTGGCCACAGTTTACAGCACCGTTCCCACACACCTTCAACGTCCGAGTCGTCGTTGTCTATACTCCAGTTGTGTGGTTGAACCGTTCCACCAAGCACTACATCTCCGTGTGGACGTGGAATAATATAGGTGTGGTGACCGTCACGATGGATCGCAGCAACGTATTTGTCAAGCTTCGGGTTGTGAACCTGTCACCACATACAATAATCCTCAGCAGTTAGAACCAATATCATCTTTTTTTTTTCGATAGCAGCATTACTACTACTTGCCTTGATGATCTGTCCACGAATTGGGTAAACCGTGTCATCTCCAGCCAATTCCTTGGCCGCCAGACCTAAAGCATTTAAAATCGAGTTAATATGACTCAACGAGTTCGGATATCTTGCGTCAAAAGCCCACCTGAGCAATTGACAAGCAGGTCGCAGTCTTCAGCGTTGAAATCGCTCACGAGACGCTGTTCAAATGTAGCACCCAGTTGGCGCACTTCGTTCTGGAGCCACTTCATGAACGTCCTGACCCATTCAGCAACTCAATCAGTACAGTAGAAAGTAGCCAGTCCACAGAGAAATATAAAATACTCACCCAGTGTTGTAGATAATGGTCCCGAATGCAAATCCATGCTCCGCGTCCGGTGACACTTTCGCCGCCTCCTCTCGACTGAGCAGACGGAAATTTTCCACGCAATGAGCCCAATACGGGTGCACCTGCCAGCACCAAAACATCAGCAGAGTCAATAATAATAGTAAACAAGGAACTAATACTAAATTGACTCTCACCACAAGTGGGGGGCCTTCACTCGACACCTCCACTCCTTGTACAACGTGGATGCCCGCCTCCTCTCCGTGTCTTTCCATGATTTTTGACAGCCATTCGTAGCTCACCTCACACCACTTCCTGGAGGGAGACAACAGAACTGTTAGCTTGATATCATGGCTGATACCATATTGTAGTTATTGGTGCACCGAGGTCTGGCAGGATCGGCGTCGTCCGGCAGTGAGAAAGGCATCCAGAGACCGCCAGCAACGTGCGACGCGGTGACGTCGAAGTTTTCAGCCACGATACGGACGTTACGGAAGTCATTCTGCAGTAATGCCAGAGCCGAGGTGAGGCCGATCACGCCGCCGCCCACGACCAGAACGCGGCACTCCTCGGAGCTCGTCATTTGAATTCGAGTGTGATCGAATGGCTACATCTTGGTTCAAGTCACAATTCTGACAAATAAATCAACCGAATCATGCTATGACTACCGGACGATGTTTGACACACCATGAACAATCTTTATTTCCGATTTGGAATTCCTCCATCAACATGGCGAATGGTACGTCTTCGCAGTCTTTGACGTCGTGTAAATGCACTTCCCCGACCTCTTCTGCTGCTAAATTGTATACGGTCGGATAGCTTACGATCTCATCTTTTATCTGCTACCCTGTTCATACACACAGCCACGCTGGATCCGGAACAATTCTACCTCGTCCGAGGCACCAACAACAGTCCGTCTTTGAAGAATTCTCCAACTATCTTTTACAACAACTCTAATTCTTACATGACAAATTTGCTATATAGTCGAGGGTGATGAGGTGGACTACCGCAACCTGATGACGCACTACAAACTGGAGCCTCACCTGGCCAAAATGGCGGAGACAACGCTGCCCACGACTTATCACCATCTTCTGCGCGGCGTGGGCGAGGCGCGCGACTCGCTGACACCCGGAGAGCCCAAAGGTGATCTCCTATCTTTACTGGAAGGTGTTCCCTTTGACCGCCCCATCGAACCGCTCCCCGAGAGCGTAGTTAAGAGCGCTTTCCAGCTCCCAGCAGGCAGCAAGAGCGGCCCTGTGATGCGTCCTCTTAGCAATCGCAAGGCCCCGGGACTCATTCATGCGCCTCCTCCTACGGGAGCTGAAAGAGCTGCTCAGGCTGAGAAGCAAAAGGGCAAAGCTAAGGACGACAAGGATCGTAAGGAGAAGAAGGAGAAGAAGAAGAAGAAACGAGAAAGAGAAGACGCCACGATGCTGCAGAAGCTGCTGGCTCCTCTGGTCGCAGAGCTACGGGGACTCACGTGGGCCGGGTGGGTCGTCAGTGGGAAACCAGGCAACCCGTTCTTACAGAAGTTCACGAAGGAGAACTGCAAGCGTCTCGGAGTACCCAACTACTTTGATTACGTCAAGAACCCAATGGACTTGACTCGTATGAAGGAGAAGGTGGAACATGCAGAGTACACGAAGATCGACCAGTTCTCGGCGGATATTAAGCTTATGGCTGCGAATGCCAAGACCTTCAACCGCGTGGGTGAACCTGTGCACCAAATGGCGATCGAGATCGAGCAGCTCTACGAGTCGAAGCTTCCAGTGTACAAAAAGATGTTCGACGACTTACAACAGGAACGCAAGAAGCGCAAGAAGGAGAAGAAGAAGCGGAAAGAGAAGAAGAAAGAAAAGTAACTAGGTCGGACACAGACTCCCACTGCAAGTGTGGCAAATACATTCTTTTTAACCGTACCAACAGCGCGGATAAGTCTCATTTTTCACAACTGGTAAAAGATTTTCCATTGTTCCTGCCGCGATATGTTCCTTCTCATTATCGTCAATCGAAAAAAAAAACACGTCTGAGGTCAATCAGATAAAAGTTAGTAAACCCGAGCGAGGGAGTAGGCAAAACTCGCTCTGTCAAGTTGTTTTCCTAATTCCATTTGACACATTTGTACTCGAGTGATCTCTTGTGGAAGGATGTTGTAGTTTGAAGTGCTGGTGGTCTTCGATCTCGTCTCCTTCAAGTCATCATCGTCCACCGAATACTAAGTTACCTTAAGTATCACGCAGAGCGGCTGCACCATCGTGAGAACATTCATAATCTCACGCGAGACGTTATTGTTTGATACTTATTGAAGCACCATCCGTCTAATTCTTGTTTTAATGTTTTCGGCGAGGAAATGCGAGCCACAATGTTTTGTGACAATAACGCCGCTGGAGGAAGAAACGAAATGTACTCCAGTAAGCATGGCAAGTTCATAATCTCTTTAGTCTATTCCACCACAAGCTGCAGTGTTTCTTCTCCATCGCCACTAAGTTCCCTTCGTCCTCCCATTTCAGCGTCCAGCACTGGCATCGTGGGAAGCCACCAGCTCCACTTGTCGCGACCGAAATATATCGTCACATTATGCGTGAAGCTGCAGTCCGCTAACTCTCCTCTCTTGCTCGCCAAAAACTCGAGCGTCGTCTTGCCTTCCCGCAGCAACCACAGGTGGAAAATAAAGTATCCAGCTAATAGTATTCCTACACCCAACGTCATGACCCAGCCGAACTTGAGTAGTACTTCATGGCGGTGGAAGTTCGCATCCCAAACCATCGGGGACACCATGATGTTGAATACCAGGCAACTCAGCGACGTGTAGACCAGGAAGAGCAAGAAGAACTTCTTGTTGTTCCAAGCCACACAATTCCCTGTCCAGGGGCAGTGGTGGTCCATGCGGTACACACACCTCTGACATACTGAGCAGTGGTGTACGTGATCGGCTTTGTCGGCGTCGCAGCGTTCGCAGTAACGACTCACTCGCCCTGTATCATTAATAGGCTTTTTGTTTACCGTTCGAGTGCACATGGCGCGCCAATAGCTCCAGAACATGAGCACGGTGAAGATAAAGTAGAGCACGTTGAGCGCAAGACTCGAGTGAAGACGGACGATCGCTACCCATGTGTGCAGCTTGAGCAGCATGAGCCCGAGGGCCACAGCCACGAAGACCTTGCTCATAACGTTGGGGAATGGAAAACTGATCAACACGATGGAAACGGTTTTGAAACCTCTGTATTAGAACGCAATATCCTCTACAAGAACGAAATGGCTACAACGCTGCAAGTTGCTAGTTGCTGTTTGTTGTCCAGCTCATCGATTCAAAGGTTGATCATGTGGAAACGGAGCGTGTTGGATTTCGGTGGATCTGGAAGTCTGAATGGTGGTCGAACAAATTTCTTGAGAAGCTTCGTCAGTCGGTCAGAAATCTTCGTCGATGACAACGCGCTCTTCAGCTTCTCCACAGCAGCAGTGGTAACACCGCTCACTCGTTCTTCGTGCTCTTGGTCCGTAGTCTGGTAGGATTTCTTCGCCGTCTTTTCGCTTGCCACTGAAGAAACCTCGACGCTTGCCAAGAGGATCACAACCGCACTTAGAATGACGTATCCAAGTCGCATTGTCGTTAAGTTATCGTCGCTATCGGTGCGTGTTTTGATCGCTTAGCAGCCAATTCTCGAATGAACCAACGTCCTTTAACGCTCCAATCGACACCATCTTTTTAAATAAAAAAAAATTGGTGACTAAGGAAATCACTCAAATTTGATGCTCGATGCTGAAGTAGTTATCAGCTGGGATATCCGTTAGCGATCTGTCGAGTACATGAAATATCAAGCCGCAAAAAAGACGAGCTACATGTCCACTTATTCGAGATAACATACGCGCAAATATTAAAACTGCCTTCATCTATCCGACATATCCTCGGCTTGCCACGTCTATCGTTTCATTCGTTGCCTAGCCTGCAAGGAGTAGCTTCTAAACATTAAGCTGGGCAAGAGAAATAAGCCTTTTGCATTAAACTCGTTTCTATCCTCTGTCCACGGCCACCACCACCCAAATCACAGTTGAAGACTTACTCACAGTTGAAACACTTGAATAAATTACCGACCGATACATGGAAAAACATGGATAATACATGGACCAATACACATCGTCCATAAATTATCCAGCGTGCATGAGTAGCGCCCGCTATGCGAGTCCTCATTTCCCGATTACCACGCTTCAGTGCTGTGAACTACACAGAGCAGACTAGCCGCTTTCAAAAAATCAAAAGATTTCACTTTGAACCATTTATCACATCTGCGGGTGCTCCACCACTACTTCACTACTTTTTCCTCCGTGTACCCTCATGGAGTACAAATTTCAGCAAGTGTTCATTGGTCTGCTTGCGCTAGACAATTATCATCCAAACGCTCCCGCTTCTGTCTGGTCTCCTTTCCTTATGCGTGCGGGGCAATCATGGGCATCGAGAGCTGCTGCGGCGAATTGCCCTGCTTCCGCAGTCCACGGTCGATACGCGGACGTCTGTTCTCCTTCGATCCGCTGCGCTTGCCTCCTTGGACGTTGCTGTTCTCGTTCGTGCGTGGCGCACGAGGACGGCGTGGCTTGCCTCCATTAGTAGGAGATCCAGACTTGTTGCCACTACTACTATTACTACTCTTCTCTCTCCAGCGACCCTGACCACGACGACGTGAGTTCTTGTTCGGACTGTTGCCAGATCCCTTCTTGTCATTGCCAGATGAATCCGACGAAGCTGACGGCGAAGGCGTACGCTCGCTAGTCACTCCAGCAGTAACCGCAGCAAACGACAGCGGCGGAGCAGGAATTGACCCTGCAGTAGACGCTTCAATCTGCTCTTCACTCTGAGTCTCGTTACTCTCGCTAATCTCCTCCACAGGCTCGTTCTGAGCCTCAGTCACCTGCGGTTCCGTCACCTCCACCTGCTCCGTTTCCTCTGTAGCATCGTCTCCGTGCTCTGATTCGAGCTGCGACTCGGTGAAGAAGCTGATCTGTGGCATCGTGTTGATCTCAGCAGGAACGACAGGAGAGTCTGACGTCTCGCCAGCCTCGATAACGTCCTCTACCAGTTCCTCCTTGGACTTCTCTGCTTCTTCTTCCTCCTTAACTTCCTTGTCAGACTTATCCGAGATGTTTGCCAACTGGTCCACAAACGCCCTCAATCCACTGTACGTCGTATCACACGCAAAGATCTTTTCACTGTCCGTCAGGTACTTCTTGGCCTCCTCCAGCGACTCCATCAAGTTCTCCTCGTATGACAACTCGGCAGGCGGGCGGGTGTTGCCCAGCAGAACCTTGGAGAAGAAGTCCAGTACCATCGGGACTTCCTTACCCAACGCTTGATGCAAGTTCACCACGTGCAGAGTCTTTAGTAGCTCGTATACATTGGCAAAGCCCTGCTCCGTAACCTCCTCAACCGTCTCCACGTTCTCCTGGACCTCCTGAGTCTCCTGTTCAGTTTCCATCACGGTTTCTTCCTCCTTTGCAACCCGATCACTCTCCTCCTCCTTCTCCTCCTCCGGTTCAGCGATAGCAGCAGCAGCTTCCTCGGCCTCCTGCTGTTTCTTCTTCTCCAATTCTTCGCTGTAGACTCCAATAAACTGCTCACGGAGCATCTCCAACTCCGCTACGAGCTTCTCGAGCGTTGCCTTGTTGCTCATAAGCTCCAGTTGCTGGGCATTGGGCTTCTTACCATCCTTAAGTTGCGCCACCTCCAGACTTTTGATCTTCTCGAGCTTCTTACGGTGCGAACGGATGCGCTTGTACAACACGCTCAGATACGGATGATCCACAGTTAAGTTGCTCATAGAATCAGCCTCATTCAGCTCCTGAGTTGCAGCAACCGCCGCAACTACCGCTTTCACCTTGGTCTTGGATTTCTTCGTCTTCTTTTGAGAGACCGTAGCGACCTTCACAGAAGGAGCTGCGGACTCGGAGTTGCACGGACCGACAGCGACAGCCTCGCTCTTGTCGATGCTCAAAGTTTCACTTGCCATGGTGCTTTCTGGGCTGCTGTACGAGTCCGCGAAGTCAACGCGTCCACTAGCTTGAGTCGTCTCTTGACGCGTTTCGAGAAATGAGGCGTGGGAAAATCCTAGATCAAAAATATGTTGTATGACACACAAAATGCAACTTTATTCTCTAGAAAGTGGTGTTTTGGACACATTATGCAACTTTAAACAGCCTCAGTGATCTCGTCCACGATAACTTCATCCACTTTGATCCCGAACGTGCCGTCGCCAATAATGACAGTCTCCAGGGTCGTAGTGGACGTCGGAGGACCACTAGAAGTGGACACAACACTCTCCTCGTGAATGGATTCGTGATGACTCATCGGTTCGTCTACAGGTGCAACTTCAACTTGACCCTCCACTTCAGGCATCAGCCTCGCCAACGTCTCCTCATCCGCAGCAATCTCTTCGTCCTTCGTAGCACCAGCCTCCGTCACAGCTTCAACAGTAGCCTCAGTCTCTTCCTCGTGGGTTGTCTGGTGTTCAACAACGCCCTCGGCCTCCTCGCCTGAAGTTTCCACAGCTCCAACCTGTCCCGCTTCGCCGATGGTCTCAGCCGTGGGCTGCTCGCTACGCTCACTCCCATCGGTGGCAGGCATCTCAACGGCGACGTCCTCTGGCAACAGACCCAATTGCTCCTTCAAATGTGGACACACAGCGTCGATAACTGCACGCGTCTCGTCGAACAGAGTCTCGCTGCTTCCCTCAGTACTCCCCCTCTCGAGAACATCCTCAGCCTTCAACACCAGCAGCAGGTTGTACAGTGACTGCAAGGTCGTTTCAAACACGACACTACTCTGTTGCGATCGCATCGTGGGCGAACTAGACGCCACCAGTTTCTTTGCCAATCGACGCAGAACCTTCAGCCACAACTCCGGAAAGTCCGGCAACTCCATCAACACATTCAAGTTGTGCAAAAAAGTCTTGGATAGCAACGTGACACTGTACAGCGGAGCATCGCGTGCCATCTTCACAGTGATATCGTTAACTTGGTCGTCAAAAGCGAAGATGATGTCATTAAAGCACTTTTTCCACGTGTCCTTGGCGATCGGCACTCCGGGCAGCAGCAGCGAGTTGCGCAAACAATCCCACGCAGTCTTGGCCACTGGCGGTCGGTCATCGTTGAGATAATTCAGCATCACTTGCATGACTTGCAGCCACGAACTGCCATTCATCTTGTACGTGTTGTCACTATTTGCCAGTCCTTGCAACAGCTTCAAAGCATCCACAGCATACGACGTTCGATGGCGAACAAACCCGCAGCACAGAGACATCCACGGCGCGAAGTTGTCGTCCTTCAAGTGGCCTCCTTCAGCCAGCACCGTCACGCTCTCCCAGCACGCTGATCTGCTGTTGATATACTCGACCACGTTCTCTAGAATACCCAAGAGCACTTCCCAGTCGCGGAAGTCGTGCATGTACACGAGATTCGCCTTCAGTAGCATCGTGATGCCCGACGCCAGGCGGTCACTCAGCGCCTTGTACATTTCCTTGTCCATCGTCAGTAACAACTCCAGTGTAGCCATCAGCTTCGGACGCACTTTTTCATCATGGAAGAGTCGAATACTCACACGTAAGATATGCACAACCACGCGTTCCACAAGTCCCTGCATGTGGAGTTCACCCAGTGGCGTCGATAAGATGCGCTTAGCGTACAGGTGGAAGGAATCCCACAAGTCCAGCTGCAAGATACGATGCGAGTTGACCAAGATGATGTCCACACTCAGTTCCAGCACCAAGATGGCGTTCTCCTGCATCATAGCGTCCACTCCAGAGTCGGACGCCTGCATGATGCACTTGAACGGGTCGCGACACGAGATCAACGTCTCCAGTAGGCTGGTAAGAGACTTCTCCTGTAATTTCCGAGTCAAACGCAGCCAGTTTTCCTTCTCCAAGATGCCACCGCCCAGCTTCATCACTTCTTCACGCAGCATCTGATTAACCAACGAGAAGCTCTCGTCGATCTTCTCCTGTTCAGCCCAGAGGTAGGAAGACAAAGAGTCCCAGAAAGACCCACTATTGACACTCTGTCCGTGACTTCCATACGCGGTACCTTGACTCGCTTGCGTCATACTCTTCATGCGACTGCGAATAGCAGCTTGACGCTCTGCTTGGCGTCGAGAACGCTCACGAGTCTTCCCAGACAGTCCAGTTCCCCCTTGATTGCGTCCGGGCGACATCTTCGGCGGAGAAGGTACATGAGCTGATCCTCCCTGCATCGGAGGCAACGGAACTCCACGCGAATCCACAAAGTCGTCGATCTCCACTAACGACGTAGGAACGGCATCCAGCTCGTTAAACATGAGCATACACTCCACCACATTGGCCCAGCCTTTGCGGAAACACTCGCTCTTGTTCTGCACAAACTGGAACAGCAATTTCAGCGCTAGAAGAGCCCGACGAGTCTTCGCTCCTTGCACTAGATCTTCGTCTATCGAACCTCCAGACTGCTGAGAATCTGCTAGAACCTCAACTTCCGAGCCATCATCCTGTCGACGAACGATCCGCTCTCCAATGGTCTCAGTTGACCCATGTTCGGACGGAGACGGCAAGGGAGATGACGTCGGTACACTACTCGATCTCGGAGGTACGTACACCTTTTCTCCGCTCATTATTCCGTGTGCGAACGTGAGGAAGTAGGACGCTAGAGCTCCCATGATCTTGTTGAATTCATCGATCATATCGTAGTACAGCATGATCTTCGCGCAGTTGCTCAGTCCTTCCAACGCTCGCTCCATGTTGTTCAAGTCGCACGTCTTCTCGAACGCCAACAGGATGCTCTTGATAGTGCTCTCAGAGATCAGGTTGAACATATCCTTCTCATACAAACCAGCTCGCAACTTCAGGATGCTCGTATTCGAGGTAAAACTGGCCCCAACCACGTTCTCTGAGCGCTTAAGTACGCCGTCCCATTGCATCGAATACCGATCGACCGTCGAGGATGGAGCCTCCATGAAGTCTGAAACATCGTGTTGCATCTGAATCTCTTTTTCCAGAATATTATAGTACAGATCCGTCAGATACTCCGTCGGTAGGTCCTCACCCGCGTTAATACCTCGATTGTTGCGGATAAACTCCTCGATAGTCATCTTCTTTGCGATGTGATCCGAGTGTAAGTCCGTGTTGAGCATGATGATACTAAATGCCAATACAAAGGCCGCATCGGCGTCTGCCAGAGGTCCCGACGAGCCTGCTTGGAGGTAGAATTGCTTAGAGAAAGCCTCCATCATTCGATCGATCTTCTGAGCTTCACCCGGTAGACGGAATTTGGCCAAGAACATTCGCAATGCCTCGTCCAGAGATGGTGCTGACCGGAAATCGAACATGGCTACATACGCGTCTCTCACTGCAGCGTTAAACGGGTACTTTTCAATCGGTCCATCGCCGATATAATCGCCAATCAGAGTCTTGTTCAAACCAGGTGTGTGTAACAGGAAGGAAGCCACAGATTCGGGCGTTAATTTCTCCGGTAACAGTCCAATCTGCTGCGAGAAAGCCATCCAATTCTTCTGGTCGTGGTTGAACTTCTCCGCAGCCAAAGCGTAGCGCTTCTTGATGCGCTTACGTTGCTGCAACACTTCAGCTGTGCGTTCGCGTGCGGTGTGTAGCCACGCCAATTGATCTGCCGGGTTGTCAGCTTCACTCTGCTCCGAGTCTGAGTCGCTTTCACTTCCCGACATGACGAGCTGCATGAGATCTCGAACCGAAGACATGGGCGAGATATCCTCCATGGGGAAGGCGTCTGACGAACTGTCCGTACGAGGGGAAGCTCCAGCTGTGAACCGTGCGAGATCAGATCCTTTCAAACTTAATACACCAGCGTTGCTTCCAAACGTCCTGGAGCCTGAAGTCTTCGCTGGAGTGTTCAGAGGACAGCGACGCGCAATCGATTCAATCACTGCCAGTAGTCCCTCGAGACACAGTAGAGTCAGAGCGTTCAGGTTACCGTCTGGGCCGGACATTGACTGACAGTTTTTCGCCAGAGACTTGCACAATACTTCGAACAAGTTCGTGCAGTGTACGTCGCAGTCGTAGTTAATGTATAGATCCAGCATAAGCGCAGGCTCTCGACAGAACTCCAGCAACGACTCCAATGCCAGTTCCTTCTGCTCATTAGAACAAGACGGAGAGTCGATGATACGCATGTGAACACTGGTGAAAAACACTTCCAGCTGCACCTTCAGATGGTCCTTAATCGAGTTGAACAGGTTGAACACAACACGAAGTGTAAGCGACAAGATCCCCAGCTCTTCCGTCTCTGAGTTTTGCAGCAAGAACTTGGATAAATCGCCTTGTAACACCGACACCAAGCACGGATGATTCCCCAGTCCAGTCCCTGCTGTCTCCAGTACAACGTTTATCAACCTCAGTCCCAAGACGCACGTCATCTCTTCGTTCTCTGTCGGTGAGATCAGCCCTGAAATAAAGTGCAAGATCCGCTCTAACAACGGAATCCCGTACGGTTTATCCACTGCTTTGGCGTCGGACGTTGGCTCCATCTGTGGTGCAGTCTGTTCTCCAATATCCAAACTCTCGTCGTACTCGGGTATTGGCTGCTCCTTCTCTTCCTCCTTCGCTCCATTCAGCATCTGTGGTGACATGGGCGTTGGTTGACTCGGTCTTCGTTGCGGCTCCAACTCATCGATCCGATCAAACACCGTAAGCACCAAATGTGACAACGTATTGTCTGCTGACCTGCATAAATGCATGGAAGATCTGGGCTGGCAGCGGATACTGTAGCATAACTGCAGCATCTTCCATAGATTATCCCCTGAGATCAAATGTCCAGCATCACAGCGAACACAGTACTCCACCAGCTCCAGCAGCTTCATCAGCACAGCCTCATCGTCCGCTCGGTGGGTCTCCTCGAATCTGCAGCGGGAGACACACACTGCGATGCGGTTGATGGCTACATCTGCTCGTAAAGACTCGGAGGTTATGAGTCCGTACAGTAGAAACTTGTTGATGGCAGAGATGGCGGCGCCCGTGATGAAGCCGCTTGTGCGCTCCGACTCGATGACCATCACGAAGGGCAAAAGATACGTGACTGTGTCCACATCGGATAGATCGGTCACTGACTGCAGCTCGTAGTGAAGCTGCTTGAAGGCGCGCATCATGGGCGACTGCGTGGACGCCGGGATCTCCTGCGTGAAGCGATCCACGGAGGCCCAGCGAGCGTTCACACGCATCATGGACAGCACATTGTGGATCTCGCCCTTGACGCAATTCATAGCGGCGATGCCGGAGGTAGTGGGGGAGACTGGATGTATAGAGAAGGCTAAGGTGGATATGTGTAGGACGCGCGGGGAGGTGGTAGACACTAAGGACGGAGCCAGGTGTCGCCTTGAGATTCCGAGTGAGAGTGACGTGTATGGATGGAATGTTGGAGGAAGGTTGCACGTAGGACTATTACTAATTTCGGATCGACAATAATTGTTTTAGAATTCAAGTTGTATTTTCCGAATTTAGGAAAGTGGGCAATTTTTTTTAGTTTTGAAAATACAGAAACTAATTGTTTTCGTTAATAGACTGATCAACAATTATGGATATTTTTTTGCAGTACTGAGCTAGCGGCTAGTTGGAAATTCAAAAGCATCACTCAATACATGACGTAACAAGTGTATGAGGAGAGCGAAGCCCCGTTGATTTATTCGCTGTCGATATTATACCGCAACGTAGGTGCAAGTACCTTTCTAGTGTATCTTCGGTACAAGTCCGACCAGCCACGCAGCATCGTCGGGCTTGTAGCGGGAGCGGAGATACGCAAGCAGCTACTAGTTCAATTTTTAAACGAGTTTGTAAGAATGGAGAGGCGGCGTGTGCAGAAGACTGGATTGCGCAAAGCACAGAATCTAATGCTTGGCTTACCAACTATAGCGCAATAGTTTTTAGCGATCTTAAAGCGAAAGGTGGCTTGCCGTACGAACTGCATACATTGACACATTTACCGCACCTGCAAAAAAAACATTAAAATCAATAAATTTGTAAGCCGCCATTTTAAGTATCATCTAGAAGTGCCTTCTATCGACACATGGATATATATCATTGCGCTGTTCGAGTGGAGATAAAGTCTGCTGAGCGTAGCTTGTGTTTATACATTTACGCATAGCTTGCGGATATCACTGGTAACTAATTGGGCGAGTCATACTGTATGCATGCAACTCACTCAACAGTTTTTTTTTTTTTTTCAAGTTTGGTACCAGGAAAATTTTGAAAGAGCATCTTCATCTTCAAGGTGTTGGTGATGGTGAGCACCACGCGGTACTGTCGGACTCGAGTTCGTCAGAACAAAAAACTCGACGTGATGGCGACCGTGATAACCGACGTAGGTTGCCTCGAGCCGCTCACACCCGCCGTGGTAACTCAAAGCGGCGGGGTCATTGAAGCGACACCGATACCGCCGCCACTAGAGCCAGAATCCCAACAGCATCTGAACCATGACGCGCATCGACGCTGGAGGGCGAGCAGCTCCGTCGAGTTTCTAAACAAGGTCAACAGCATCGACATTCTCGACACGCGAACCGAGCACCGAACTGTGCTTTATGTGTTGGAAGTTCATTTGAGTCGCACGTCGGTCTTAAAGGTAGAACGGCGTTTTACGGACTTCGAACAGCTACGTCAAGGCATTCAAAGCGCAGTGAGCATCTTGCCGCCGTGTACGTGTCAGTACTGCTTGGATTTCCTAGTACATGTTCGCTTCAACATGGCTCAACCGCGTGGCTTCGTCAAGCTCACTGCAGGAACGGAGAAGCGCAAGAAGATCCTGGCTAAGTTCATCGGCGACATGGTGGCTATGGGCAGGCGAAAGGTGGAGAAGGTCGGCAAACGAGAGTGTGAAGCGCAGTTAGTGGTCCCTGTCTTATTGGAAGAGTTCCTGCTTGGATAGAGTGTAAAAGAAGACACTAACGTATCCGATTAGGGTAGCTAACTGCAATTCAATCCTAATGCTTTCCTTAACGGACACCTTAACTGAATGCCTGAGTTTTCATAGGAGATGCTCGCTTGTGCTTGATATGTTGTTTCTGCAGTTTAGAGAGCACCGTATTTGTCACCTTAAGACGCAGCGCTCGCTCTGTTAGTGTCGACTCTGCCAGAATCTCGTCGGCTTTATCTGCAAATGTGTTGAAGAACTGCATGATCTCGTCAATGGGTTTTTCCATCACATACTCCTCGGAGAGCTGTAACAGCGTCAGTGCCACTCGAAGCATGATCTTCCAGTTTTTCTCGAACAGAAATACGTCCCAGATCCGATTCAATGTGTCCTGAGGGAGCACGTTCAAGTACAGATACAACGTCTGGAACCAGCCGACAGCGAACATCTCGATAGGCACCTTCTCGCTTGCGAAATGTTCAGCGAGAGCTGGCTCAGTCAACTCCAACAGCCTCTGCGTCTGAAAGCAATGCACATGTAGTTTATGCAGTCCAGGAGCGAACATGTCGTGTAACTCATAGCGTTCAAACAGCGTCACCAGCAGCCAGAAGGTGCTCTCGGCTTCAGCCTTGGTATCAGCAGCAGAGCCGCTCTTCTTGACTTTATTCAGTACATGGGCAGCGATGTAATCCATTCCTTGGCAATACCCGACAGCTGGGAATCGACCGGCCAATGCGTGTAAAATCTCACTCAACTGTGTAGTCAAGTCTTCCTCGGATACTTCGTCTTTGTGGTTGGCTGCACGTTTGTGAGGGGCTACACGGCCGTAAGTGCGACGTACATCCGTCATGATCGACTCTGTTGCGTCGCCCTTTGAGATAGCCATCTGCAAGTACGTGTCGTAGTCCAGTTCAGCGGCATCTCGAGTCTTATGGACGTTTGTGGTTTTCTCCCAGTACGCAAACCGAAGACTAGGCGGCAGGTGTCCGTACCGCACACAAAACTTCTCCAATCTTCTTTCCGACGCAATAAAATCTCGACAGGCTTTGTTCACACAGGACACTCTCGCCAGTACAGGTAAATCTCCGCAGTACAGCAAAATAGTGCCTAGAATATAAGGCGTTGTGAAGCATTGATCTGCTGGAGTAACTGGGGTAACTGGCTCATTTTCCGTCGAATGGACACTCGAATTGCTGATCGTTCGCGCTATGAGACCAAAGTTACGTTAGAAATGTATAATTACCCATAATTTTTGTCAACTTACTCATTCTTAGCAGTCCCATTGCCTTCAATGGCGAGTCTGAACTTGAATTTCCAAGTTTGTACTTGTGTAGGAAGAGACAACTAGCACTCCTGGGATCCTCCACATACTCTAGCGCATCCACTGTAGTGTCTCCGAGATAAATGTCAGTCATTACATTTAGTCCCATTGTGTGGATCTTCTCGGCCACAGGTCCGGCAGCCGCCAATTTGGTCTTCAGCATACTCCAGCCCTGGGTCGATCCCTCCTTCATTTTACTCGCTGCAGTCGTCAACCCCGCAGTAGCTGACGTCTTGGCCTTAACTATCGTGGGTTGATATTTCTCCAATCTACAATGTAGCCATTTAGAAACTCATTTCTCCTTAGAAATAGGTCGTGGACCTACTTTTTGCTGGTCTTGTCCTTCATGTTCAGAAGTTGCGGTCCAAGTGTCTTCTTGGCTGTAGCTGCTCTATCTTTCATGAGGCCAAAGGCACTGGCCAGACCGTGAGCACCCGCTCCATTGCCTGTCGCTGTGGGGGCGTCACCCCCGTCCTCGTCGCTCGCAGGGTCCAGAGGTTTGAGCACTGGAGCGGCGGGTGGCAGTTTTTCGGTCGGTTCTTCGCCTCCGGAGCTCGAAGCGGACGACGATGAGCCAGGCGACGAGGCCGACGGGGCGGGGGCTACAGGGAGCTCCGAAGCGGGGGCGACGGACGTCTCCATGGCTCGGAATGGATTAGAGTGACGAGTGCGAGACTCAGGACTCAGGAAAACCGTCGAGCTTTTACCCTGGTGACTATCGGCTATAATTATGCAAGGATTTGCATGATAAATAGGGCAGGGCGGACCATCCTGCGCCAAAGGTTAACACACGAAGCTACACTGGACTCTTTGCGAGAACCTCCCTGACCTCTGTAGAGAAGTCGACGGAACATTATGTGGTTGGACGCTGGCGTCTTTCTCCAGTTGCTGAGATGGGTCTTGCTCTCTGCATATATTTTGTCTTCTAATAACGATTACAGCCTTTCGCGGACCAAACTTGGATCAGCTTCACAGTTTTGGATGGGTGTCTGGTAGCCATGGTACAGAAGTGAGTGCGACAACAAGACACGTTAAAGTGTCATGTTAACGTGTCTTGTTGTCGCCTTACAGGATATCGATCTACTTGAGAACAAAACAAAGAGAACCGTTCTGCTCGATTCTTTTCCCCGCAATGTTGGATCTGCCCAACTGCTTCCTGTCCTCCATGCTATGATATTCACCGTCAGCACAGCCGTAGGCATAACTTCGCTAGCTTCAATCATCGCGATCTTGGAAACGTTTGGATGGCCTTTGGAAAGTGAACTGTCGTGACCTTGTCCTCTTTCTTTCAACGAGAAACACTACTGATTCCATACATCTCTCAGTTCTCCCTCAACGTTGGAGCCACCTCCTCTCCATTCTGGAATTTACGTTAGCCTCTACCATCGGCAATGCAGGTTTTCGCGACGTTCGTTGTAGCGATGTTGTTCATGTCCGCGCCCACAGTACAAGCTGAAAACTGCACCACTCAAGCGATCAACGACGTGCTTCAGCCGATGACATCAGACCCTAACTACATCGCGTGCCAGTCAGACAGCAACTACACGCTGCAGTCGCTTGCTGGTCCCTCGCTCAAGCAGATCCGGGCATTCTGCTCGAGCTCTGCTTGCCAGACTCTGCTAAATAACATGCAGGCGTCGGGTATCCTGCCAGACTGTAACGTGGCTACTGGCAACCATCCTCTCAGTCTGACGGATGCCGTAGTTCTTGTATCTTCCAAGTGTGTGCCATCACCTGCTCCGTTGAAGCTTCAAGAGCGGGTTGTCGACAATAGCGACGTCGACAGCAAAGCGAAACGTATCTCAGGCCACATCTCTTCTGCATTAAGCCACTCAGCTCCAATGGATGACGTCGGCGGAGTGGCTGGGGCTCTTCTATCTCTACTGCGCCGATAAACACCAAGCTAGATGTTGAAGTTGTCCACAAAAGTATTCCCGTCCTGTTAATGCGAATATTTACGTATTTCACTGTACATCCCTGTCAAAGTTCCAGCCAATCATCTCTCTTTACTTCCCATTTTCAACCAATCTCTATTTCCTGTGCTGCCAAGCCAGCCGATTACGGTCACTTATCAAACTGCCAGCACCGCTGCCATGCCGCCTCACCAGACCCCCGAGGACGCCGATGTCGCGAGCTCCAAGCAGCGCGTGGATCTCATTATCTTCGCTTCTCACGTGATCCCCGTGGTTCCTCGCAATGTGGTGCTTTCGGACCATGCAATTGTCATTGACAACTCGCGTATCGTAGCTCTACTGCCGCGTGACGAGGCCCACAAGCTCTACGTTGGCACAGAAGAGCGTCACCTCTCCAACCACATCGTCACTCCTGGTCTTGTGAACCTGCACACACACTCGGCCATGACACTTCTACGTGGTCTGGCAGACGACAAGCCGCTCTGTGACTGGCTGATGCAGGACATTTGGCCCACTGAAGGAGCATTCGTTGGCCCGGAGTTCATCAAGGCTGGCATGACCCACGCCGTGGCCGAGATGCTGCGCTGTGGCACGACATGTTGCAATGACATGTACTTCTTCCCTGACCAGATATGCGAAGTATTGGAGTCTACGGGCTTCCGTGGGGCAGTGGGGCAGGTAGTCATGGAGTTCCCGGGTCCGTACGGCTCTGGAGCCGACGATTATCTAGCCAAGGCCAAGCCGAACCTTGAGAAGTACGCACCTGGATGTCACGACCTCATCACGGTGACGATGGCTCCTCATGCGCCGTACACCGTCTCGGACAAGAGTCTGCAGCAGGCGTACGCTCTGGCTAAGGAGCACAAGGCCCGAGTGCACATTCATCTGCACGAGACGGCGAGCGAATGCAACGACAGTGAAAGCCTCAACCGCCAGTCTATGAGTTGCCACCAGAGCGATCAGAAGCTGCGGCCATTGGCCAACTTGAAGCGAATGGGATTGTTGTCCGAGCACCTCATCTGTGCCCACATGACACAGCTCACACCTGAAGAGATCGACGACGTCGCTGAGGCTGGAGCTCACGTGGCTCACTGCCCGTCGTCTAACCTCAAGTTGGCGTCGGGTATCGCTCCTATCACAGCGATGGTCGAGCGTGGCGTTAACGTCGGTATCGGTACTGACGGAGCGGCCAGTAACAATTCGCTCGACATGTTCGGGGAGATGAAATTGGCTGCTATTCTGGCCAAGGCGCAGACGTTGCAGAGCTCCAGTGTGCCTGCAGTTGAGGCACTGCAGATGGCTACACTCAACGGAGCTCGTGCACTTGGTCTCGACAAGGAGATCGGATCTATTGAAGTGGGGAAGCGTGCAGATGTGATCGCTGTCGAGTGCGACAGTATCGAGATGATCCCCATGTACAACGCTATCAGTCACATCGTGTACGTGGCTGGGCGTGAGCACGTCTCGGACGTCTGGATCAATGGCAAGCATCTACTGGATAGCCACAAGCTCACGACTATCGATGAAGACGTAGTGAAGAAGAGTGTGCGCGAGTGGGCGGCCAAGATCTGCGCGCATCGCGAGAAGAAGACTGAACCGTAAAGGGCACCTTAACGTGTAAATACAGAGTTACGCAGCTGTAAATTTAGAGTTTACAGTCTGGATCACTGTATCTTCCAGATCTACTTTCGCAGCAGACCCATGACAAGCTCCTCCATGGGGATCGAATGGGCGAGAACATCCACGATATTGTCCACTGTATGGCCAAGTGTGTTTTCTCCTTCATCCTCGCCCACAGCACGTTCTTCCAGAGTGTCGGCACATCTCGATGCGATACGAACAGCATCCGTGAGGTTTAGAGAGTGAGCTCCGATGACCACCTGACAATCCGGTAGTAAACCCGACGTTAACGTGGTATTGAGGAGAGCTTGACACACAGAACTGGCACAGAATCCTTCAGTCTGGTTGAGTGTGGGGCTCTCAAAGGACAGCATCGAGTAGTTGCTGTCAGTCTGGCATGTAGCGAAGTTGGGGTCCGAGGTAATGGGTTCCAACACTTCGTAGATCATTTGAACGGAGCAGTTCTCAGCGTTGGCCACGACAGTCGAGATAAGCAGCAGTAAGGCTGTCAGAAACAGCATAGTGAAGACGGTGATGAGAGTTGAACAGGTTAAAACGGATAATGAACAGGATGAAATCGAGACCGGAGACCTGGAGGAATCAGCGGTATCATGGCAAACGTTAAGGTCGTGATTCTACGATCCCAGTTGTTGCATCGAATTAATGCTCGAACATCCCACCCACCCTAGATAACATGTACTAGAATGGATGCATTGACCTCGCGACTGACCGTGTTATTCCTCAATCTTCCCTGCAACGCACACAGCGATGAAGTCTTCGATTGCGATGATCATCGGCCTCATGGCCTCAAGCTGCGGTACTGCGATGTCTACGTTCACTGTCTTAATGTACACGGACAGCAGGTTCGAAGATTACGTTGGCCAAGTTGCTTTCGATTCCACAGATCGCTGCTATCCGGTGTGTACCGACACCGAGGCTGTGGCTGCTTTTCTCTGGGATGGCGAGCCTCGAGGAGCGCAGCTTATAGTTTTTGAGGACGTCGAGTGTCGTGGTCGATATGTTGCAGGAGACAAGAAACACGATGCCGAGTTCTCTGTAGTGGCCTCGGGACGTAAGGTTCGATCGTTCATCCTATCGACTACGGGGAGTGTTACGCCCACACGAGGCATCGTACACTCCTGCGACGAGAAGAGCGACATCGTGTACAAAACGTATAACGATACGGCGTCTTTAATGTGAAGGAGGGCAACGTTAGGGGGTACTAAGTACTGTATTCTTCAATACATTACTCTTCATCGTCACTAACCATATTCACAAGCACTTCTGTAAACTTAACCGGATCGGGGTAGCTCGATACTTGCCATCTGAATGAAGTTTCTGGTTGCAAATGTTCATTGTTGTTGCAAAGACCATCTTCCTCAAAATCCGCGAGTTCTGGAGGCAACAAAAAGTCCATTTTGAACGGTTTGCTCAGGTTCTCAGTACTGGCACGGGAGCTGGACTCGCTGCTTTCTTCGTCGCTGTGTTCACTGTCGTTGTTGCTCCTAGCACTGGACGGTATACTACTGCTTGAAGAATGATGAGGTTCGTATCTGTATGCCTGCATCATTTTCCGGAGTTTGGCACAATGCGCTTCGACTCTTTTGCTGGCCTTCGCTCGAGCCTCTGCAGCCACTTGAGACCGCGCCTTCTCCTCCTCCATCATGGTTTCCCACTCTTCCTCGCGCAGTCTGATCTGCAAAGCACGTTCGGCTTCTCGCTGTCGCTTTAGTCGTTCTTTCTCGTCCGCAAGTTCAAGTTCTCGACGTTTCTGTCGAGTTTGAGCGGTGTCCTCAAGCACATTAGCGAGCTCCATCTCTAACGAAGCCTTCGTGGCTGACAGTCGAGCTACTTTAGAGCTCTGACCAACGTTCTGCAGTAAAGCTTTTTCAAGCTTCAGACGAACACGTTCGCGCTTTTTGTGCTTTTCAACGTAACTTTGCTTCACATGCATCTCCAAAGACATCTAAAAAATAAAAGTAAATAAAAAAAATGGTTAGATAATGCAAAATTTCCAGATGGAACAACCTACCTTTTCACGTAGTTGAGCTTCCATGTTAACCATGAATTGACTTGGTTGCCTCTCGGTCTCCATCACGTCGTTGGAATCAGCAGTCCACACTGATTCCGTGTCTTGGTTATCGCAGCTAGATAGAGTTGAACGTGCAGTGGTCATCGACGACTGTTGTCTGAATGATCTTGCGCGTACGGCTTCGATCTTCACCATTTGCTTGTGCAATCGAGACGCAGCCTCTTGACGTTCTAGTTCTTGTTCGCGTTCCAGCTGCAGCTTTTCCTGTTTAAAACGTTTCGCACGCTCTTGAGCGAGCATCAACGCGGCTGCAACCTTCGCGGCATTTGCCTTTGCTACTGCTTTAGGATCAGGTTTCTCTTCTTCCTGGTTGTTAGGGTGTTTCTTCTTGCGTGACCGCTTACGGTGTTTCTGATGTGGTGGCCGTGGTTTCCGGTGTTTTTCAGGAGCTTCAGAACTTACATGAGACGTCACATCGTCGTCCCTGGTGTGGCCTCTGCTGCTGCCAAGAGAAGACGAAGATCGCCAAGAGACGAAGTCGTCACTCTGATGATTCCAAATGTCAGGTTTTGGTTCTATCGGTCTGGATGGAGGCAACGGAACGGAAGACTTTAAAGTGGACAACTCTCGCGTGCTTTGAGGCTGAACTGCATCGAGAATCTCGTTGATTTCATCGTGCCAGCTTTGAGACTGCGTCGGTTCTGTAGCATGTTTAACAGAACGACGGCCGCGGATTGAGTTGCTACGATGTGGCTTTGAGAAAACATTCGTAACTGGAGATCCTCGATCGTATTGTTGTGTAGGCAACTGTGTTGGAATTTTGTGAACTGGAGGCGGCGGCTTGGACTGAGACAATGAAGAGTGACTTGGAGCGTAGGCAATCTGAGTGAACGTGTCTTGGATCTGAGCCTCCTGCTCAGCGAAGAAGCGTCCAATCTTCTCGATGAGGTCTGCCATCCTTCTTGATGTCGACGGTCTTGTCGGTAGTTGTTTGCCGCCGCTTCAGCTCACTAACCCATAAATAGATTAGAGTACTTTTACCGTTAATCACCCCCTAATCACTAATGAAGTCCCGTAACTCGTTGCTCCATGGCTCGAACTTCCTCCAAGATCTTCTTCTGAGCCACAAGCGTTTCCTGTGCCATCCGCAGCATCAAATCGAGCTTTGACCTCGAGACGACCACGTCATCGCTGCCACTATCCGTCCCGGACATGACGGACGAGTACGTCTCTGGTGCTGATAAATCCCCTGCCGAGACCCCTCCATCCGTGCCTGTATCACCCATAAGTGACGACGTATCCGACAGAATCGGCACCGAAGTGTCCGTCATCACTGCTCTCGAACTGGAGCCCAAAGCGTCGTATTCCACAGTATCTCTCTGTTGACCGTGTCGAACGTGCTCCAACTCGTCAATCAACGCTCGTATCTCCATCTGCTCCTTCTGGTGTTTCTTCGTCAATCCTCTACTCAACGAAACACCGTTTACTCAGTTTTTCACACTCAATAAGCATAAATATACTCACAAACCCACCTTTGACGTCTGTAGCTGCCTGCTCGGTTCTGCTTGGCCACTTCGCTGCGTCGATTGCGTACCATTTTTAAAAAGGCTGTATAATTTAGTCGGGGCTCGTTTAGATTGCCCCCTTGATAGTAAAACTCGTCATAACCTTGCTCCAGCAACTGCTCGGTCGTCTCTCTGTCTGGAATCCTGTTAAATTGCTTGGCACAGTGCACATATTTTCTGAGTAGAATCAGCTGAATGCCTTTGCCGATCTTCCAGCGTTTCTGGGCGACTGAACGGTGCGAATTGTGCTGCGAGGGGGTCTGAGAAGCGTCATAACTGGCGGTCTCTTGCTCGCTTAATACAGGGTTATCGTCGCTGCCGTCTTGTAGAGAAGTAGTAGAGACATGGAGGCGTAAGAGGGTGTGGTCGTCGGTTGCTTCATCATCCCCGTCGTGTCCTGGAGGAGGCAGCACGTCGACGTTCAAGATGTCCATATTGGATTGATGTGATTCTGTCCACTGGCTTTTATTGTAATCAGATTATCTGAATCTGAGGAGGAAATAAATCTGATTCCCTAGACGCTAAGTTATGTTGTGTCCTCAAGTGACAGTAGGCGTAGAATGGTCCTCATCATGGCACCGGTGGAGATTTGGCTTTGCGTCGGAAACTCGCAGTCGCTGGTGTGGATGTCTCTGAGTGCAAATGTGTTGAAGTTGACGCCCTTGAAAGACACTTGACACGGTGGAAGGTTGAAGGTCGCGAATGGGGCCATGAGCGACTTGCACGCGGAGCTGGCGCAGATTGCTGCGGCATTGGCGTCCACTTGGCACGTGGAATAGTTCACATTGGCTCGTAGGGGCTGCAGAGTGGCAGTCAACTCGCTGTTGTTGCAGAGTGCCGAACTTGTAGCAACTGAAGGCAAAACATTGACGAGAAACGCGAGCAGGCCAAGAATCGACATGATGGACAATAGCGCTGTCTTTCGTGGCCAAAAAGGAAATAAAGGGTCGTGAGGACAAGCAACAATCAAGTGTGAGTACCGTAAACCACGTCCACACTACATGGCGAAGAAACACTTGTAGAGGTGACATCCCAACTTTGTACTAAAATTTGTAAGAAAATCTCATCATTTTTATGTTTGCATTTAGTGGCAGAATTCTAAGCGCAAAGTTAACCTTACTAAAAAAATTATTAATAAAATAGCAAGGAAAAAATTACTACGAGGCCGTGGTTTACGGTATGGCGGTATCATTATACAATCAAGGGGCTAGAAAACAGAGCAAAGCAAGTATTCGGATTGTCTGCTGCCACAGGTGAAAACATACATGCTCATACGTAAGCAGAGAAACACGATAAAGATGAGTTTCACTCACATACATATGGGTGAAAATCATCTATTTAGCATGTTTCTCCACGACAGACGCTCTGGCGTGGACGCGGCTAGTTAAGTGCCTTGGGATATCCTCAGGCAGGTTAGATCTAACGTTGAATTTATCAGATTGGTATGTATTGGACTGGACCTCTCGAAAGCCAGTACTACCACCAGATCAGTCGTAAAAGAACAGCAGAAATCAATTAAACTCGAAACTGAATGGGATGACGAGAAATCTACTCGTCGAACAACCCTCTTGTTCAGCCCTAAGCTGCTATAATAGATGTTAGACCCTGAGTAACATTTATTTGCGAACTATTAAATGTTGTCACTCGGAGCTGCACCTGCCGGCCACAGCACGGATCTGTCACCTTGACGTCCAGAAAGCAGCAGAAGCATTCACACTCCTCGCCTTTGTGATGGTTTTAAAGAATGAGAGCGCATGTGTTGGGAGAACTGGCTTGCCAACAAAACACCAGGTACTCTTCTAATGCTACAATATTAAATATCGTTCATTTTCTTTGTAATAATAGTTTTTATCGCTATTAACCTCTAGAGATGGAAACTGTATGCCGACCATAGTAGTAGTATTTAATAACTATTAAAAGTTATGACTTCTATTTGCCAAGCACCACCGAACTCAGGCATAAAAAAACAAGCCAACATAAAGTACCATATTTGGTTAATGAACGCGAGATAAACAATTCTGATTCGGCCAGTAGACGACTATTCTGGCTCACAGCTCACTGGAACTCCCATCGATGCTGGATGAATTGAAGTGATCGTCCATGATACTTCTCCAATTATCAACGCGGATTTCGATGTTGCCAGTCTGCATTTGTCTGACCAGCTCCCAGCAGCGAGGGTGATCGTATGGACTCAGGCCGTAGTTATTACGGAAGACAGACGAATAGTCCTCCACACCACCCACAGTATCGTAATGATACTGACATTCGATGAGCTCAGCCTGGGTGAACGCAGTTTTTGCTGTACCGTCGACGTCTAGGGCATCAACCAAAGTGGTTTCCAGGAGATCGATCGCTTGTTCTTGCACATAAACGCGCTCTTGCTGCTCCATCTCGAACGAATTGGTCTGCATCTGGTGAAGCTCCCTCGAAATGCCCGGTCCTTCAGTCTCCGAGTTGCTCCCCACTTCCACGCTAATTTCCTCCGTATTAGCTGTTTCCATCAAAGCCATGGTTGACGCAAGGACAGTCGTAATGGGAGCTCCACGCTTCGGACACACAAATCCGTAGCTTTGCATGTTCAGAATGAGGTCGTCGCGATCGTATTGGTACGAGTTTTTGCCGAGTTTGTTGATGTTCACATATTGCCAGTATTTCGAGGGCAACGGCTTAAAGAACTGGCTCAACGCCGGGTGATCTTCTGCTCGAATTGGAGTCTTAGAAGTCGGGTAAGAACTGTCGACCATCCACAACTGCGTCACATTCGAAATCGCTGTAGGACTCACTTCATCCTTGTAAACGCACTGCTGGAACGCCCACCGCGAGACATTCTTGTCTGTCGGAACCACGTCATCACCGAGTTGACACTCCAGGTAGATCTGGTCTAGGAGATCGACGGTTGCGCTAGATACAGAACACAAACACTCAAAGTACGGTATTCAAACCACAGGACTGTAAAAACGTACTGAATGCTGAAGAAGACTGGATCTGCTGGGCTCACGTAGCTGGCGAGGACAGACGACAACGCGTTGTGAATGGCATCTGCCATAAAAGTGAAGATAAGCTTTCACCTTACAACCCCCACCGCGCTGGTAGAACGTACTGTGTGTTCCCGTCTGGATGCGTTGAGTCACATCTCGAAAGCCGTTGGCCTCACCTAGAGCCACTCCTAATCCGGCGTATCCGAACCCGGCAGGAAAAGTCTTGCTGGCCCAATTACCTCGAGGAATGCAGCGTGCGCATTGACTAGAATTGGTGATAGTGGAGCTCTCGCAGAACGACTTCGCAGGTGCATTGGTCACGCAATTGCCTGCGATCGTTCTACCGTTTATAGTGACAGAGCGCGCTGCCCCCTGCGACCCGCCAAGACCGCGAAGTATTGGTGAACAGGCTTCCAGTGAAGCGCCTCCGTTCTCACACTTATTCTCAACGAATCGAGCATAGTCAGCGAAGTAGTCCCAGTATGGGATCGTAAGGCACGCGTACTTGGAACCAAGACTACGCAACATGTTCTCGTAGGCGAGAACGAAGCGGCGATTCCAGTACAAAAAGCCACAAGTTCGCAGGAATTCCGTGGACGAAGCCTTCTCCGAAGCCACTTCCGTGAACAGGATATGATACCCCCTTTGCATCCCCACCCCGAGAGCTTCGACGTACAAGCTCCGTTCAGCTTGAGTCAGGGCCCCCCAAGACTTACGAACCCGATTCGGACAATTCGTGGCTTGTTGGGCATCGACGACGCAGTGATAGATATCACTTAGAAGCAAGCACACGACGAACAACAGACCCGGTACTTGACGACCACAGAAACGCATTCGCTTGTCGAGTAGATCCAGCAAAGCACGGCACGAATAACGACTTGTGTGGGAACAGCCTCGGCTGAGTGAAGTGCGTCAACAACGCGATATCTTTGAATGAAAAGCCGATAGCGGAATCCGTGGCGTCGGGCTGAGTGTTCTCCACTTGAGTCGCGTCGTGTTCGCTGCGGATTCCTTTCGAGGATTTAAAGTGATGCGAAACCGGTAAATTGGTAAATGCCATCGAAAACAAACTTTAGACGACCAAATACGACGCTAAAACAAGTGAATCCGAGTTACCTACACCGCTGTGTTGACCAATCGGTAGAACACATAGCCATTAGCTTCTAGAAAACTGTCAAACGAAGAAGCGATATTCTGGACTTGGCCGGACAGGCGCTCTCGTGACACATCTCGACGTTACAAACCGACAAGGCTGGAAAGAGTTACAGCTAGCGAAACGTTAGTCTTGATGATGAGATGAGTGGCAAGACAAGTCAAGTTCGAGGTTCAAGTTTCTGGCGGCTCTCTAGATACTTGCGAAATGGTGGAGATTCTAAACAACCGCCTCCGAGTTCGTACGTGTTCCGCTTGCTCATACTGGTCACACGCGATGCTCCTGTTGAGTTCTTAGAAAACTCAACAACTCACTTACGCACCGCTCATTATTGGATTGTTTGTAGAAATCGTCTGTGAACGCGCATCTATCGATGTTACTGATGGATAAAGTACGGTATGAAGTTGAACACCAGACTCCGGCCTTCGCTTGCTCCGGATAATACGTGTTGACTGCTGGTTTCGGCCAAATGACACGGACTGGCTTAGTGTCGACTCGAGCTGGCGCGATAGGATAAATCAAACCAAGCCTGGAACCAACCTGGTTTCTAAGATTAACGTTTCGGTACATGTACTTTTTGTTCTAGAGATATCCACATACTTACTCAGCACATTGTTTATTTTCGGAAGATTTACTTTATACCAATCGGATTATTATTTGGTCAATTTCGCTGACCGACGGCTGCAGACCCCTAAACTAACATGGAGACCATTCTCGGGGTGACAAGAGGAAAGCCCCATCCAGCCACAACGCGTTGCGTATCATGTCGGTTTTGTCACTATCTGAGCATGGTTCCCATCCGAAACGAGTTCGGCTTTCCGCTTCACAATCGTCCTAAGGAAGTTCAGTACCTCCACCTGGCGTAAGGACAGTGTTAATTACAGTCTACGGAAGTTACTATCCTGCACCAGCGCCTTCTCGGCAAGCTCCATGCAGTCTTCGTCTCGACTTCTTCTATGGTTTGGGGCGTGCGTGTGACTCCATGTTGAGTCGTAAGTAGCTCTTTAAGCGGCGCCGTGAAAACTGTCTGACTTCATTTCCAAACACCATGGCTCCTCGCCAGGTAAAGACTAAGGTCTTCGCGCTCCTCGTTTCCATCTCGTTGGTGGTTAGCACTATCGACGCGAATGTGTGGTCGACAAACGGGGTCTGTGGTTCCCGTGTTCGCTATTCGTGGGACGCACTTTCAGTTGACGACAAAAAACTGTATCGTGATGCCATCGCCACTGCAATGAGTACAGGATATCATGCACTGTTTGTGGAGGTGCACTCGGATCGAAACTCCTTCAAGGAGGCTCACAATACGTGCGGAATGATGTTCTGGCACCGTCGCTTCCTGCTAGCATACGAGGACATGCTGCGAAGCCTTGGTACCAAGTTTGCGTGCATCACGATCCCGTACTGGGACTACTTCGCCGACTACGCCAAGTTCTTGACCAACGTCTGTACCAATTTCGAGGACTGTTCGACGTTTCTGAAAGATATGGGAGGCAGTTCGGGGCCCTTTGCATCATTAACGATCAATGGGAACGTTGTCAACGGAAACTGCGTCAACGGGTTAGCATCGCCGTATGCAAACTTCACGAATTTCTGCGAGAAGTCAACGATTAGTGGGTCGTCCTGCTCTGGTTGCATTCCACGAGGGGCATGGTCGTTAGAGAACTACCCATCTGGTATTTGCTACTCGTCATTAGCGAAGTATCTTAGTCTCCAGTTCGGCTTTGCATGGTTCTCCCAGAACATTCACTACGGTGTGCACCAGTCCATCCACAACACGGCTATGGGCGCTATGGCCACGTACCCGACATCCGCAGACCCCATCTTTTACAGCCACCAGTACGTCTTTTCTAGCTATCTGTGCTTGCTGTTATCATCTCACCAATCTTCTTTATTACAGTGCTACAGTGGACTTGATTCATCAGCTCTACTACGACTGTCAGATCGGACGACCATTGACGGACACTGAGAAAAAAAACGGTGACTACGCCTTTGAGAGTTGTGCTCAAGTCGACTATGTGGGTGTTCCCCCAACTTCGACGTCAACCATGACGATGTACTGGAATGCAGTAGGACAAACCAGAATCTCCGTTGAGAGCCACCCTCGTCTGGGCAGATTCTTCGCCTACCAGCCAAAGGAATACTGGCAATACGTCAGCTCTATCGACTTGGGTTACTCGTACGCAGCGGACGAGCTTTTCGTTCTGCTTAAAAATCAGGGCTTAACGTGTCCTAAGAGCCACACGAGGAAGCTCTTCGATGTCAATTACGTGGATGTGCCCGTCACAGCTGATAAGAAAAGGAAGGCCATCGGTCGGAGCTTCAATCTGTTCCAGGACATCTATGATGCTGCTCTTACAAACACCAGCTCTCACACTGAAGCCATTGACCAAGGCCAGACCGTGGATTGCCTATGGTACAACGAAAAGTTTGGTGTAGACGATTTCAGCCCCGAATTCCGCGCAAATTGGAACCTCCCCAGCACTGCGCACACTTTCTGCTACAATCGGGTACAGGACGTTAACTCTGGTCGTAAGCAGGTGAAGGTGGGGCGTTGGAAGGACAAATATCAGTTCCACTACTTCACTATGACGGACGTTCAGCTAGCGAGTGCATCGGAGATCACGTCAACGGATGAAGCAGCGTTAATTAGCAGCTCAAGCGCATCGACAACTTCGACGCCTACTGCTACATCGGGCGTCGAGACGTCCGCTCCACCTGCTACAGCTACAACAACGGGCAGCGAGACGTCCGCTCCACCTGATACGACCACAACTTTCCCAACAACCACAGCGGAGCCAGCAACCGTCGTACCTGGTGTCTAAGGGATAAAGCAGCAGTGATAATGCTTCTCTGTATCGGAAGTATTTCATGCTTTTCATTCCTTTGGGCCTGAATTTGACAACTGATGGAGCGACGTCAGTTCGTAATTAATGATCAGCATTCTTCTTGTTTAGAACGTACGATTACTGCTCGGAGGACGCTAGAGTGTCTACATTGCTGCTTGTTGTGCAGTACTACTACATGTACTTAGTAGGCTGCATACTAACATTGCACAATCATGTGCATCGGAAGGATACCTCGATAAAATTTCAGTTTTGCAAAAAGGAGAACCAAGTATTAACGAATTTTTACGAATAAAAGACCTCCGTCAAATGTTCGATGCTATTCTAGAATCAGAAACCCTCTACTATTACAAGACCGCAACGTTAGCGCTCAACCAACACCATTCAAGGACAACTTATCGGTACTGATCGACGCTTGGAAGCGCTTAGGCGCTATGGAGTACAGTCGCAATGGCAGCCCGCCTCCTGTAGCTACTGTGTGCGGTTGGGTGCACCAAGCGTGGCGAGACACGGCTCACCCGTTGTGCTGATATGGAATCACGGCGTCTACGGGTAGAAGTTCCAGCAGGCTTGGAGCCGCGATGAGGCGGGAAACGAGCTAGCTACGGAGATCGAGAGTGAGGATCACCAGGCGCAACGTCGAAATTGAATGGGGTCGGCATAGTGGAGGGTTACGCTTTTTTTTTTTTTTTAGGATATAGAAGCCCTCTACGAATAGCAGACCCCTCGTCAAAAATGATCGGTTTCATGGGGCCACTAATAAATAAAAGACTGATCACAATTCGTAAAAATCCGTTATTAGAGTAACCTTACAAGGAACGACGCCTTCAACATCAAGGACAAAAACAATCAAGCTTCTCGAAGGATTCAATGCGTACACATGGCACATCACCACTATAAAGGAAGCCGCTCTCGCCCAGAAATTGATCAAGTTTCTACGAAGGAACATTACCAGTCAGCATTTTCGAGATCGTTAATCCCTTGGTTATACTACATGAATATCTAAGACAACGCTGTTTGAGAATAACTAGCCCAAGATGGCCACCACACAACGTTTCTATTGGTAGACGTAGCCTACAGAATCTGCAGAACTCTTTAGTTAATTCAAAATAAATCGAGGATCTCTGAACATGATTTTTCTCACCAAGGAAATTTATCATGCTGATGTTAGGACACTTACGGCTACACATGGCTTGGTGGGGATGTATGGTCTTCGAACTTAACTGAAACTTGTGGAAGTTGTATTGATCACAGCTATGCCGAGTAGCTACTTCTGATATACATTATCTGCAGAAGCGATACTTAATAAGGCCTTGCTAGTGTGTGTCTTGCAAAAAAAAAACGTAGATTTTCTATTATTTCACTGGAAAAAGTTTAATTCTAGAATTAAGAGACGTGACTCAAAGACGAGAATTACACATTTTGCCTTGCTTGTAGATTTCTTCTGTACAGACTTCGTCGATCAACGCGGTTTAGTGAGAAAGTGAGGCTGAAGAGAATCTGGCTACAACTTCTGTATGGGAACCCGGTTCAGCGGGCTTGTTTTGTACAAACTATTGTGAAATCTACAAGTAGCGTAAGTAGTAGGGACCTGTCAGCTTTAATTAAAGCTGTATTGTCGTATGCATCAATGTTGTAAATTCTCAAGCATATCTGAGCAAATGAAGAAACGACACCAGATCAGTGCAGCACCTGGTGTTATAATAGTTTGGCTTCCTCAGTTTTGATAACTTGGTAGCGCTCGCGACCACACTGGGATAAGGTGGGATAGGCGCGGTGATCATGCGCGGATGCCAGCCACAAGTGTGGATGTCAACTTGAACTTTAGCGTCCACATTAACATGTCTTGCGCATTGTCACGATGACACATGCCTCACGCACTGCGGATGTTTGCGGTAAGATGGAGAGTCGGGATGTGCTGATCGTAATCGCGTTGGCAGCTCGCTGCGTCGTGGGCCAGAAGTCCTGGCTGGTTTTTTCAAATCTTCTCGATTTGCACTGCCACAGCATCTGATCACAGCTGGAGAGCGCTGAGTGTCGAGTGGGCAGAGCTGTATACCGACTGCTCGTAATTCTTCGCAAGAGTAAACACGCTGCAATGGAAACCTGGAAACCTGCGCGTTCTGAATCATAAAATACTGCTGTAATGTGCTTATCCAACTGGTATACTGTAAAGTATCCTTTACAACATCGTGAATATCGGCATCTCAAGTTGTCCAACATGTTGACGTACAAATTCCAACTCCACAAACGAACGAATGACAAAGTTCATGTTGCAAAAACCGTTCGTATAAACTACTACGTGTTGTTGTTCTGTGGTTAAATGGATTGGTATCGGTTCGACATGGAGAAACCCTCGGACAGGCAGCGCAGTACACTTAGTATGCAGTCTGGGGCGCTCTGGTCCTGGGCTGCTGTGACGCCGGCGACGAGATCCACCTCGGACGTGATGCGGGTGGTAACCTGCTCGCCTGTCTCGAACTCGAATTGTTGAATAATAGGGCACGTGATCACTCCGTAGCCTTGGCTCTCCTGTCCCCTCTGACGCTGTGCGTCGTAGTACACGTCGAGCTGTAGCTGACCCGTGATCTTAATGATCACATGCTCGCCTGCCTCCAATCTTTCGCACGAGGCGATAGAGAGCTGGAAGATCCGGAATTGTTCCCGATACCAGAGCCAGTGTAGCTTGAAAGACTCGACCGAGTCGAACTCTTCTCTCTGGAGGTCCAACAAACATTGCAGCGCCGGGGAGCTGCCGTCCGCCAATCGGAAGTTCTGCAGGTCGAGTCTCTGCTCGTTGCCGTCGACACCGACAGCGTAATAGAAGTCACCGACCGACTGAATGGGGTTCAGTCGTCCTTTGTTGGCGACTGCAGCGCGGTGGGTCTCTAGCTGCTCGATATTCTGTTCCAGGGCCCTGATCTCACCCGTGACCTTCTGCTCGTACTGACGCTTACGTTTCCTGTAGTTGGCCTGATTAATACGGCATTGCTCTTTCCTGCGCGCTTTCTTCCAGTCCTCAGTGGCGGTCGCGGGCGAACTGGGGGTCCCCTGCCACGTATCCTTAAGCTTGTTACTGACACTGGAGGACATGTATCCTGTCTCTCGACGCGCGATGGCAAGTGCCGCAGCCTGGTCGGGTGTGAGTGTGGAGCGCCACGCGAGCTCAGGCTGCTCCGGAGAGAAGGAAGCGCTGCTGTGGCGGCTCTGCGGCAAGGTAACGGGGCGTTGGCACAGTCGCTTCGAGAGTGTGGGCAGCGAGTCAAAACGTTCGGGCGAGAGCGTCTTGGCTGACGGGAGCTGCGGCAAACGGGCTGCATGCTTACTGAGAGAGCTTAATGGATCGAATCTCGAGTCGAGGCGCAGCGACGGCAGCGATATGGGAGTCATGGTGGGTCCAAAGTCTTCTCTGATTTCTCTTATCCTCTAGTGCTCGAAATTAGGAATGACACGGTAGACCGAAAAAGTAGCTTCGTCGTTGTTGACGCGGCGTGGATAGTTGTCGATGTCCTAAACCTGGCCAGAGAAGGTTCTTTTCAAAGAGAATCCGTTTATGATTGGACACTGCTCGCAATCAGAAAAATAGATTCAGTAAAAGAATAATCAGCTATTGGTTTTAAATTTTGAGATTTGGTAAAATATGGGGTTTGGACATCGTTTACGCGGCGGATAAGGAGCGCAAACCATGGACCGCCTCGACAAACAGCTTGTGATAAATTACATACATACCCACTGTACATGGACAAGCGAGCACTCTGCACGCTGCAGCAAATAGCTATTTCCCTGGAATGCCAGTAAATCCAGCCGTACCCTTGCTTTTTATCTCTTTGTCCGGTTATCACCACGTGGAGAAGTGTTTTGGCCCGAGTCTCTCGTTCAGGAGATGGCCCACCCCTGGACCTGCTCACATCATCGCAAATCTGCCTGATAGCGTCAGATGTGCAGCAGCGAGCCACCCTTCGTCTCGTCATCAACTTGGTCGAGCACTGCCAATGATCAGCTGGCTACAGACGGGAGCCTACAGTACAGTTCCTTCAAAGCGAAGCCAGCAAATGTACGGCGTACACAGCATTTGCTGACGCTGGCAAGTCTGGGGCTCGCTCTTATCGTGATCAGAGTGAGCAACGACGCAACCGGACGCTCGAAGACACGACAGCGGGAATTGACTATAATCGACTTGGCTTTTACAAATGAGCGGTCGATTTGTAAGGCGGTTATCCTACCAGCAATCCTCTTGGTCGTGGAACTGCAAGATGCTGCTGGAGGAAATGTGGAAGTCGCTCTCGGTGCTCATGCCATGTACTTCGAAGTACTAGCTAATTTTATTGGAATGGATATCCCATTTGCCTCTTTAAAAGAATTTGCAGAGCTGTCTAACGCGATAGTAGGAGATGGTAAACGTAATATGGTTGCGCTTCGCAACTTGCGCATCGTTACTGTAGCTGCCGACTGGTAGATGTACTGTATCGGATAGCCACTGAATGCTACAGATCCTCATGTTATTCTTGTACTTTCGCATGCGTTTCCTCACTCTCACAGCATCTGGGTCCCAGACTGCGAGGACCAGAGAGTCCTTCGTATTGAAGAGCAGTCCATACTGAAGTTCAGTGCTCAACTTTCACTGCAATCTACTCCGAGATGTACAAAGGCCACACAATCGTTATCAAAACTGTATCGACGCTGGCGTCATCTAATTCCTACAGTAATTGCATTCATAGAGAGACCAACTTGGTGATTTATAACGGAACCAATCATCGACCAGAGTCTTATTGCGACTTACACGTAAATCAACAGGCACCCCACTGTCATGCGCTGTGTTCGCTCCCCTGTTCATGCCTCCCTGCATCTCCACTCTTCTTACCAACTCCCCTGTCAGCTTCCCCCGTTCGTCACCTCCACTCTGAGCCATTCCTCGCTCCACATCTCCCCCAAGACGCTACAGAATCGCCTGTTTAAATCAACATCCCGTATGCTCGGGTTTCCCGCGTCTTCCGGCGGCTACGAAGCGTTCGGCTCGTTCCACACGCCGTCCACCGCCTCCCTATTCGCTGAAAACGACGCAGGTTCAGGTTCCGAAATGGTATGGGAATCAGCCATTGCGTCGCAGCGTCTGCAGCTCCAGACCAATTCCGTAGCGATTGCATCAAACCGCTCACACTTCGCACTGGACCTGCAGACGTGGACATACCTTAACCACGGAGCGTTCGGGGCCCCCACCAAAGTGGCAATCGAGGCTGCAGCTCATTGGAGGGCGAAAGCGGACGCTCAGCCACTGAATTTCAACGATCGGGAGCTGTTCCCGTTGGTTGTGAAAGCGATTAAGTCCCTCGCAGGCTTCATTGGTGTCTCCAAGCCTGAGGAGCTGGTACTGTTACCCAACGCAACCGCTGGGCTGCATTCTGTGCTGGCATCGGTGTTAAAGGGGGAGGAGGAGAAGACGGTGGTGCTTTTTACCACAAGATACGGCGCTGTGAGGAAGATACTGCAAGCGATTGAAGGCGGGAATGGAGCCGTGCATGTGCATGAAGAACCGCTGAGTTTAGAAGAATCTTGCGACGATCAGAAAGTGATGCAGAGGTTGGAGAAGGCGCTGGATGCTGTACAAGCTACAGGATGTGAGGTGACACTTGTGGTGGTCGACCACATCACGTCCAACACGGCAGTGACGATGCCTGTGAAGGGGATAGTGCAGCGCTGTCACGCCCAAGGCAACGGCATCCCCGTGTTGGTGGATGGAGCACATGGACTACTGAATCTGTCTCTTGATCTGGACGATATTGGGGCGGACTATTACGTCGGCAACTGTCACAAGTGGTTCGGCTCAACACGCGGCGCTGCTTTTCTGCATGTTGCCAGGCAGAAGGGGCCCACAATTGAGCCTCGTGTGATCTCGCATGGATTCTTTGACGGTATGCAGAGTGCCTTCATGTGGACAGGCTTACAAGACTACAGTGCGTGGCTCGCGCTGCCTCAATGTATCGCTTTCTGGCGTCGTCAAGGTGTCACTGCAACGCGCGAATACATGCACTCGCTAGCTCAAGAGGCTGCGGAGTTGCTGTACTCTCGCTGGGAAATGCCTGACCATCTGGCAAGAGAACGCCAAGTTCCGCAGCACAAACGTCATGCCATGCGTATCGTACAACTCCCGACTTCGCGAAAACTTTGTGGTGGTGTAATAGTGGATGGAAAAGACCCCAAAGCCAATTCAACGGATGCCAAACGCGTCCAGGACGGTCTCCACTCTATCCACAACATCGAAGTGCCTGTCAAATGTGTCGATAATCGACTATACGTTCGTCTGTCCGCCCACGTTTACAATTGCCTCAAGGACTTTGAAAAACTCGCAGTCGCCGCTTTGGACCAGAAATCTCAATAATACGGTTAAATAACGTTAAATTGTCGGATCTTTGGCAAAGGTCGCGTGGCGTTAATTGGCAATTGAGATGCGTTGGATACCCGTTTTGTTGCTATGGACGCTGTACGTGGATGTCCAGAGTGTACAGGTTCAGGTAGATCGACCAGTCTACGCAGAATTACTACGGGTGGCGCCTGGGAATCCAGGATCTGCCGACGCGCTAGTTTCCTGGTCAGCTTTTGATAATGCGCTCGAAGCCACAGGAGGGACTGTTAGTGTCCAAGCGTATGAAGTTCAGTATGCAGTGTCTGGATCTGGCGTCTGGCAGTCGCTGGGCGATTCACTGACCGGTTTTCGAGTCGATTTGGGTGCTCAAGCCACAGAACAAGTTCCCAAACAACGTATTTTCACTCGTGCAGACGCTGGAGAGACCATCAACGACGGATATTTCAGACTCACGCTCTCATACGAAGGATCCAGCCAAAGTATCATGGGCGGACGAGCGACGACTGGCGTAGTGACGCCTCCGATCGCTTTTGACGCCAGTGATGACACTATGAAGGCTGCGATTGAGTCTCTGGAGCAGATCACAAAGGTGCAGGTCGAGCGGAATGCGCTGGATGCGAATGGAGCGATCGAGTGGATAATTCTCTTTGATGTCGTGACATACGACGGTGAAGATCCGTTGCCGTTGCTTTCGTTGTATACTGAGACGCTGGCAGCTCAATGGACTGGAGACGGAGACCAGGTAGCTGTTCAATACGTGCGAATGGCTCCAAGTTCTCCTGACCAACATCGTCGTATTTGCTCGGATGAATGCAGCTTCGAGGTCACGGGACTGCAGACTGGTAAAGCCTTCACCTTCCGTGTTCGAGCGCAGTATTCGTACAACATTGGCTGGAGTTCATGGAGTGCAAGCAGTGAGCCACTGGAGATCCCAGCGACACGACTGCCGCGAGCTCCTTCAGCCCCAGAGTTACTAGGTGCAACAACTAATCATGTTACGATCTTGTGGCGTATGCGTCGTGATCTTACGCAAGAGAACGGCATCTTTGCGAAGGAATTATTCCCCGTTACAAGCTTCCATACTCAGCAACAGTGTGACAGCGAAATCGGCTGGACTACGATCAGTGAGCGTGTAACACCGGGGTTTAGTGGCAACAGCGATACGTTTACTACTGCCGTTGCGTCCTTGGAGCGTCCACCAGGGTCTACGTGTGTGTTTCGAGTAGCAGCGACGAATGTCAATGGCCAAGGTCCATACAGTTCGCCTTCAGCAAAGTTCACCACGTTTCGAACAGCTCCAGGTCCTGTTTTAAACTTACATGTACGTCGAGATCCACTAACTATCGTCTGGGATACACCTGAATCCTTGGGAGGACATACGCTGGAAGATCTTACGTACGATGTGGAATACCGCAAAACTCTTAGCTCTACGTGGACGCGATTGCCAGCACAGTTGGTCGATAACAGCAATCGAGTTGCTAACATTTCAGTGGCGTCATTGAAAGAATACACAACGTACGTCGCTCGTGTTAGAGCGGTAGCTGAACGTCAAGCTGGTAGCTTCTCTCAGTCCGCGGAGTTCTTAACAGGCTACACAGTGGAAGACGAATCAAGCTCCAACAACAAGGATTTGACTCTCGGAACAAGACAAGTGGTGATTGCTGCTTCTCGTCAGCATAGCGCTAACAATCAGGACTGGTACTACGTTCAGTTAACTGGAAATGGCGGTAGTGGGGGTTCTACCAGTGGTAATCAAGCCAAACCAGGTGAGAACGGAGCTGTTCTCGTGTTCCCAGTCACGTGGTCGGGTGAAAGACTCGCTGAGCGTTCGTTCTTCTTCACAGGAGGTATTCAATCATACCAAGTCCCAATTGAACAGTACGCCACTCATCTTGCGCAACGGATTGTTGCGCTTGATATCTATGCTTGGGGTGCTGGAGGAGCTGGCGCGAGGTCTTCAAATGGAGCGTCAAGCGACTTGAGCAACGGTGGGGGTGGCGCCTTTGCGCGTGGACTTATTCGTGTTGATGCTGGTGATGTTGTGGACATTTTAGTCGGTGGTGGAGGCCATGAAGACGGTCGTGGTGGGTTTAACGGTGGCGGTAACGGCGGTACAGGCGATTTCCCAGGTGGCGGAGGCGGAGGAGCTTCAGAAGTGCGAGTCAATGGCCGTGTCGTCCTCGTAGCGGCTGGAGGTGGCGGTGCTGGATCGACAGATTATTGTTGTGCCCATGGAGGAGGAGGCGGCGGCGTGAATCAGGCAGAATCTGGTCTAGCGGCTGGTGCTACAACGATTCCGCTGGACTTAAGTGTGACTGGACAAGCAGCTCGAGACGAGTATCATTCCTTTAATGTACCAGGAGATACGCGAGATTTCGAGGGCCTTCCAGCAAGACATCAGCATCTTGACTGGGGCTTTGCTGCGAGTAGTGCAGACTACTCCATGCTAGCAAGTGGAGGCACGGGAGCCACGCCAACGACTGCAGGAGTAGCTGGGACTGCAGGTTCATATTATTATTCTCTCGAAGGCAAGTGTCTTCTGAACCCGAGGACGTCGCTGGTGGACGTCGTAGTGACTCCGTTGACAGCAGCACATTGGCCTACTAATGGTCAACGAGGACGTGGAGGTAGTGGCCAGAGTGGGAAGCAAGCAGGTGGGGGCGGAGGCGGAGGATTCTTTGGTGGAGGAGGTGGAGGCGCAGGTGTCGACGGAGCTGGTGGCGGTGGGGGGAGCAGCTTCGTCTCCTTTATTGACCTGTTTAATGCCTCCAAAACTGGTCTCAGTGACGCTAGTTTGCGACCGCGAGTGGTTGGGGAAGCAGTTCAGCAGCTTACAGTGTCTCCGGTGACATCCTCGAGCGTCAGTGTGAGCTGGAAAGCTCCTCGTTATGGCTTCTCACAGCTGGTTGAAGGGTTCGTAGTCGAGATGGCTAATCGCTCAGCGAGCGAAGACTTTCGTCTCGTACGTTTGGTCACTCTTCCACATGCTGACATCAAGGAAAACAGCGGTACAGTTACAGTTCACGGTCTTGTTCCGATGGCTGCGTATCGACTTCGGGTCAAACCTTTGCTGCTTGATGGACGTGGCACTTACAGTGATATTGTCACGTTACGTATGCCTTCGAAGCCGAAAAATACGTGGAAACGCTGCGTTACTCGAGCTGCAGACGAAGAGAACACAAGAGCTGGGATGCGCTTCACCAACACTCCCCCGTTGCAACGACTGCCGTCTGCTAGACGAGGACATTCACTCACAGTTATGGACAATTGTCTGTATCTCTTTGGAGGAATGGCGAAGAGTTACGAGTGCAATCGAGCACTCAAAGTGCCGTGTTTACTGCAGAAACACTCACGATCTGTGTCCAATGAACTCTGGCGATATGATCTGCTCACTGAGACGTGGTGGTCAGTGCCTCAGTCAGCGTTGGTACCGCCGCCAAGAGAGAAACACTCGATGGTTGTGGTTAACAACCGCTTGATCCTCTTCGGAGGACGGCAGAATGACGTCTTTGACGTTAATGATGCGTCGACATGGGGACCACGAGCTCTGAATGATCTTTGGGAGCTGTCGATATCGTCCACCACCGCAAAACAGACTTCAGTGTCGCTGGATTCTCGTCAACCAGCGACTCTGTCTATTCCAGATGGAGGGGAAGTCTTCGCACTTGGTAGAAAGAGTCTTAGTGCTAGTGGCGAGCAACTCTGCGTTGTCAACGTGTCTGTAACTGTACAGATAACACACGCGTGCCCTCACACGCTACGTTTGCAGTTATTTGGACCAGGACCAGCAACGTTCCCAGGACGACAGCAGAGTCTTCATTTCCCTGCCGATTCACAAGCTCGAGAGACGACGTGGAGTAATAGTCAAGGACTGAAGAGCCTTCAAGGAGATCAAAGAGCGACTGGCACTGCGCCGAACACTAGAGCGTTTCCTGTGCTGCTGCATAGTCCAGAAGCAACAGAAAAGACGAAATGTACTCCTGGAACTGAGAAACTGAGCTTCGTGTCGACTGTGGGAGTGTCGGGGACTTCATTGGAAGCTCTTTCGGTCTTCCATCAGCTGCCAGTTGCTGGGAATTGGACTCTTGAACTGACTGACACTGCAGCGGATGGCTTAGTCGGGACTCTTGACTCGTGGGACGTCATATTTGATGTTGCTCCTTGCGTTCCGGCCTTCACGTGGACAAATCTATCGCCCATAGCGATGGGAACAGCTCCAAGCGCGAGGTTCCAGCACTCGGTTGTCGTGTTCGAAAGCAGTATGTTCGTCTTCGGAGGCTCAGCGGGAGGTACTGGCTTGGAGCTGAGCGACTTGTATCGACTGGATTACACCCCCAGTGTGGCGTTCGGTGTCGCTCCGACTGCCCGATGGACGCAGCTAGCGTCTCTGACCGATAGTGAAAGCCCCAGTATCGCTGAGAGGAGAGCTCATGCAGGACGTGCTACGTTGCTCACCCCGTATGAACTGATGGCTGTCGGTCGTGGATTGAAGCCTCCTCGACGAGCGTCACTAGGCTCGAGTAAGGCGCTACCAGCTTCTTGCTTTGAATCACAACTCGACATTCGTTTGAAGCGCCTTGAAGACATGATCGACGGGTGGAATACGGTTGCTACGACGTCTGAAGATGAGATAAGCCCTATGAACGAACAACGTCCAGTGCCTCGATACTGGGGAGCTAGCGCCTTTGTCTTCTCACCACCAGGCAATAGCGTGCCGTGTGTATTTCTCTTCGGTGGACAAGATGACACGACGTTGCTAAATGACCTCTGGAGTCTGGAATTGGCTCAACTGGATGAGCATTTCTCTCGAGATCGTTTACATGCCAAACGGATCAGAGCGTGTGCATGGAGACAAGAAAACTCAGCATATAGGGCACAGTGGACAGCTTCTTGTGGAGCAAGTAGTACCGCCGCTGCAGTGAGCAAATGTACGCTGGAAATGCTGCTGTTCTACGCTTGGTGCGAGGAGTTTTATCAGTCAATAGCACTCTAACCTACTAAGTGGGGTTCGCGCCGTTGTCTTCATCCCCGCCGTCTTCGTACTCCACATGCTTGATCGACAGTTCACCAAACACTCTCTCAAGCATCCGAAGTACATTTGGCAGAACGAAATTCAATTGATGCGGCGGTAAAAACTCGTCACCCGTTGACTTGGCGATTGCCACGATTGCGGGAGGATTGCTCGAGTCTAGTGAGTGTGTCCGAAGGAATCGCTCCAGTTCGTTAACCATACGCTCAATCTCTTCCAGTGAGCTTTCGTGATGAGGCAGATCCAGAAAGGGACCCGAAGCCCAAATCTCATGTCGTGCGTTCTTGTCATCGCGATACTGCTCTAATATTTCGATGAATTCGTCGAAAAGTTTCTCGACATCCACATTTTCAATGTACAAAGGTGCGAGTTCCTTGACGACTTGTACCCATTCTGAAGCGCGTTTGGAAGCGTCTTCCAACGCATCTGATGCCTCGAAATGTTTAATAAGCTCACAGAATACCCTCCGCTCAGAGGTTCGTTGCTGAGCTGTAACGAGGTCGAGAGGTTCTTGCTTGTACCGCACAGAAGAGAACACTTGAGTCACAGTCTTCACCGCTGCTTCTCCGATATGCGTCTCTAAGTCTGGTAATGTTTTTAAGTCAGTGAAGCAGAACAGAAAGATAATCCTTACAATACCAATCTACCTTTGCGAAATGGATTCCATGTCGAGAAATAGTCCAGATCGATGTCGAGGATGAAGGCCTTTGAATTCCCTCGAGCGGTTGTGATCGCCTCAGTCGCTACAGCAGCAGCGCTGCCTGATGAACTCATCTCCGTAGCGAATAGATCCCACGTCCTTAACGACGATGCATCTATTTCCTCCACAGAACAATACAGTTCGTCCTCTACGAAGTGAGGCAGTTCACTGGTCGCCCCCATGCCTCCTACAACAAACATTGAATGAGTTCATCGTCAAAGACAAACAAAGGCTCTTCAGTATAGTACCAACCATTCGACTTGCGCTTTCCGATGGAAAGTTGTCTGAATGCTCCCGTCGGCATCTATCGTATAATCTCTTAGCCCAAAGCCCAAACACAATAGCAAGCAACACACTCACTTGTGTCGCCCATGAAGGTTTGAGCCATGTGATCTGGTTCACATGTCCTGCAAATACCAGCGGCAATAGAAACTCTGCAATCCCTGCAACAGACTCGTCCAGCTTGTCGTATAGTTTCTCTGGCTCGAAAATCACGCTGGTATCCGTCGTTGTGGGGAAGGATAAGTCCGGGTGTGCGTCCACGTGCAATACATGGATGTCTGAGAAAGGCAGGCGGCGCTGGCGGATGGCCTAGCTCAGCAATTATCATCGCATTAAACACCAAAATTGCGGTGAGACTAAGCTGCAATCGACGAACCAAGTGGATGTCCGGCAGACAGTGATGGTGGTCGTCCACGATCACCACAGGCACCGACATGACTTTTGATTCACAAAAAAGGCAACTGCAACGGTTGAACGATGTGCGCCACATCACATGAAACTTTCGAAAAAGTTCACTTGGTTTCAGTAAGGCAAAAGATGGATTCAGAGAAGGAAATTTTCGCGCGCTCAGCGTATCGAAATGATCGCTTCACCATCTACAAATATCAAGTGAAAACCCAAAAATCCCCTGTTACCAATCTCATTTTTTACAGACAACGCCAGTCGCTCGACGCAGACGCCGCAATGATGCAGCAAGAAGAAGAGCACGAGACGCAGCACCAGAAGGTTGAGATGTTGGACGAGTTCCGAGGAGACGAGGAGGAAGACGCGGCCGGTGGCAAGCGCCGTCTCTTCCGCTTCAAACCCGCATTCGACGTGGTATTGGTGCGCGAAGTGATTCGCGACTTCCCGTGGGCTGCGGGCTATGGCCGCACACGCTCTGCCTGGATGGCAGTGGCTTCGCGCGTGCAGGCCGCGCTGGAGAGTATGAAGGGCGTAGTCTTCACACGCGGCAGTGCGCTTGATCACGCTATCGTTAAGCGTCGCGTCGATATGTTGTTGGAGGCTTTCCGCAAGAACGAGTTGTCCGCATTACGCGGCTCTGGTACGCCCGAGGAGTTTGATATGCGCAACAAACTCCTCGCTATCTTAGCACGAGTGGTACGAAGCTTTTGTTGCTATTTATTAACCAATTCTGCTCAGAACTGACCGAGTAATGAAATTTTTTTTAGGTGGACGAGCAGACACTCAACAAGGGAGCAATGCGCGAGAAGCGCGTACAGTCGGCACTGCAGGTGGCGCTACGTAGTTTGGCTGAGCTGGAAGGCTCGGGTGGTCTGACCTTGCCGCAATCTGCGGCCCTCACGCCTCCTCCTGCCGCGACGCCGCCCACTGCACCGTTGATGCCCATCGCCCCCGCGCCTGCTACGACCTCGGCTGTGCCCGCTCGTTCCAGCCCCAGTCCCAGCCCCGTGCCTCAGAATCTCACAGTTCAACATCAAATGCAGCAGAACGGCAATAAACGTCCGCTACGGACGCCGTCGGTGCCAATTGGTGGTTCTGTGCAGGAGATCAAGAGACCCCGAGTGGAGAGGACCGGTATGGATAACGCCCAAAGCATCGAAGAACGGAAATTGCGGCTTGAGGAGCGACGTGTGTCCTTGGAAGAGGAGAGACTGGCTTGGGAAAAGCAGAAGGCCCAACAAGACGCGAATGAGCGCCAGGCATTGCTGGACGTGCTGCGTGCCCAGGGATCCCTCGTGACAGAGCTGCTCACGCATCTTCGGAACGCCAAGGGACCCGCCAACACCCATGATCTGTAATGACCCAATCCCAAAATTGAAAGCAGGCGAGACGTCAGCAGCTCCAAGTGTCTAAAAGCCAATTACCATTGCATAAAGGAAGTAAGGTTACAGTAGCAATTGTGCATGCGTTGCAGATCAAGGTGATGGCTACATTTTTAAGATATTTGATGTAAGTCACACCAATCACCACCACCAGTAGTTTCCCAAACGCCGCAAAGCCACAATCACTCTGCATTCCGCACTCGTCAAGGTTCATGGCTCCATCCGCGGGTCCTGCCGGCATGGCGCCGCCCTCCGCCGTGTCCATGGAGGAGCTGGAGAAGCCTGTGAGCAGTGTCAAAGACAAATGGAAGCTCTTGCCTTATTTCCTGCAGCTTCGTGGACTTGTGAAGCAACATATCGACTCGTTCGACTACTTTACGTCTGTCGATATGCGTAATATCGTGCGCGCACAGGCCAATAACGTTGTACGCAGCGACGCCGACCCTAAATTCTTCCTACAGTACACGGATATTCAGTTGGGCGCGCCTTCCATCGACGAAGAAGCCTTCGTGAGCGCCAGCGTCACGCCCCATCAGTGCCGCCTAAGAGATCGCACTTATGCTGCGCCCGTCTACGTGAGCGTGCGTTACCGTCGCGGCAATAAGATTGTGACCAACAACAAGGTGCTTATCGGTCGCATCCCCATCATGCTGCGCAGCTCACGTTGCGTGCTTGCGGGCAAGAGTGAGGCTGCGCTGGCGAAGCTTAAGGAATGTCCGTATGATCCGGGAGGTTACTTCATCGTTCGTGGCGTGGAGAAGGTGGTGCTCATTCACGAGCAGCTGTCCAAGAACAGAGTCATCATCGAGGAGGACGGTAAGCACAACGTGTGCGCCAGTATCACGAGTTCCACGCACGAACGCAAGTCCAGAACCAACATCTTCCTCAACAAAGGTCGCGTGTACTTGAAGTCGAACTCTTTCGGCAGTGACATCCCTATTGTCATTGTTTTCCGAGGCATGGGAGTGGAGAGCGACCAGGAGATTGTCAGTTTAGTGGGCAGTGAGTCCGATATTTGCGACGCGATGTCTGCATCTTTTGAAGAAGCCTCGGATCTGAAGGTCTTTACGCAGCAACAGGCACTCGAGTATATTGGATCGAAGATGAATGCACTCACAAAGATTGGAGCCACGGGAGGACGCCACCGTGGAGGTGCTGGAAGACCACAGAACGACCGCAACTTGGTCGATGCTGCACGCTCTGCACTGGCCAACTTGGTGCTGAATCACGTTCCGTGCGAGAACTTTAACTTCCGTCTTAAGAGTATCTACGTTGCGCACATTGTGCGTCGCATCCTGTTTACAGACAAGGACCGAACGCGCTTGGATGACAAGGATTACTACGGCAACAAGCGTCTTGAGCTGGCAGGTCAACTGCTGTCCCTGCTGTTTGAAGACTTGTTTAAACGCTTTAACAGCGACTTGAAGCGACAGGCTGATATGGTGCTGAGCAAGCCGAACCGCGCGTCGGTGTTCGATATCCTCAAGTGTGTTCGCACAGACACAATCACACAGGGTTTCTACCACGCACTTTCAACTGGTAACTGGACGCTGAAGCGTTTCCGTATGGATCGTGCTGGTGTCACCCACGTGCTCTCACGTCTTTCGTACATGTCGGCGCTGGGTATGATGACGCGTATCTCGTCTCAGTTCGAGAAAACGCGCAAGGTATCAGGGCCGCGTTCGTTGCAGCCGTCTCAGTGGGGTATGCTTTGTCCTGCTGATACGCCTGAAGGTGAAGCTTGCGGTCTTGTGAAAAACTTGGCTTTATTGTGCCATGTGACGTCAGACGAGGAGCCTGCTCCGATCAAGCGTCTTTGTTTCGACCTGGGGGTGACAGACGTCTCACTGAGCTCCGGCGAAGAGATTAACCACGCGTCCAACTACCTTGTGATGCTGAATGGTGTGATTATTGGCACCCACGTGAACCCACGAGCTTTCGTTACACGCCTGCGTCGTATTCGACGGGCCGGTCTTATTGGAGAGTTCGTTTCCGTTATGATTCACGATGTGCAGCGGGTTGTTTACATTGCTTCCGACGGTGGTCGCGTGTGTCGCCCACTGCTGCTCATTGATCCTGTGACACATCGTACTCGTTTAACACAGCGTCACTTAGACGAGCTGCGGGCTGGAGTGCGTGATCTCAGCAGTCTCATTGTCGAAGGTTGCGTGGAATACGTGGATGTGAACGAGGAGAATAACTGTCTGGTGGCCCTGCACGAGAGTGAGATCGGTGACCGTACGACTCACTTGGAGATCGACCCAGTAACGATCCTGGGTGTTGTGTCGGGCCTTATCCCGTACCCGCATCATAATCAGTCTCCGCGTAATACCTACCAATGTGCTATGGGTAAGCAGGCTATCGGTACGATCGCCATGAACCAATTCGAGCGTATCGACACGCTGCTTTACACCATGGTCTACCCGCAAATGCCCATGGTGAAGACCCGGGTACTAGATCTCGTGAATTTCGACCGTGTGCCAGCAGGACAGAACGCCATCGTTGCTGTTATGAGTTACTCCGGTTACGATATCGAAGATGCAATCGTTCTCAACAAGGCTTCGTTGGATCGCGGCTTTGGACGTTGTATGGTTTTCAAAAAGTACCAGACTATGATTAAGAAGTACGCGAATGGCTCATACGATCGTATTGTGGGACCGCCCGATTTCGACAGCCTGGCTGCCGCCGGTGGTGCTGGCATGGGTTTTCGCAACGCCAAGTACTCGTCCCTGGACGCTGATGGTATCAGTCGTGTTGGTGGTATTGTCCAGAATGGAGCAATTATGATTAACAAGGAGCAACCGACACAGTTTAACGACTCGGTTGACGGACGCGATCCGCTGGATGTGACGTACTCGCCCTCGCCGACAACGTACAAGGGACCGATCCCAGCATACGTGGACAAAGTGCTTCTGACTTCTTCTGAGGCCAACCATTTCTTAGTGAAGGTGCTGATTCGTCAGACACGGCGTCCAGAAATTGGCGACAAATTCAGTAGTCGTCACGGTCAGAAGGGTGTATGCGGTACGATCCGTAACCAGGAAGACATGCCGTTCAACGACCAGGGTATTTGTCCCGATCTGATTATGAACCCTCACGGTTTCCCCAGTCGAATGACTGTAGGCAAGATGATCGAGTTGATTGCTGGCAAGGCTGGTGTCCTCACAGGCCGTCGTGCTTATGGAACGGCTTTCGGCGAGAAATATGGCTCGGCTGATCACGTATTGGACTGCTCTCGTGAACTGGTGAAGAACGGCTTCAACTATGCTGGCAAGGATTATCTCACGTCGGGTATAACGGGTGAGGCGATCGAGTGCTACATCTTCATGGGGCCGATTTATTACCAAAAACTTAAGCATATGGTGATGGACAAGATGCACGCGCGTGCTCGTGGTCCTCGTGCTGTCCTGACTCGTCAGCCAACTGAAGGTCGTTCACGTGATGGCGGTCTGCGTCTCGGTGAAATGGAACGCGACTGTCTTATCGGATACGGTGCCAGTATGTTGCTCATGGAGCGACTCATGCTGTCCAGTGACGCTTTCAGCGTGGATGTGTGCCAGGGCTGCCGTATGCTGGGCTACGAAGGCTGGTGTCAGCACTGCAAGTCAGAGGAGAAGGTGGTGAGCATCCGCATTCCGTATGCGTGTAAGCTGCTTTTCCAGGAGTTGCAGGCCATGAACATCGTGCCGAGACTGACGCTAAAGGAGTATTAAAGTGTTCAATTAGCGGACCACGTTGCGCCTTGCTGTTACTGATTTCTGCATTAGTACTGTGTTTAGCCTAGCCATGATGATTGCTCTAATAGGCTGACGGCAGACCAAAGTGAGCGATCAGATCAACTCATGCACCTGCAGTACGATACTGGTACACGTTCACGGGAAAAGGGATTCACACGCAGTGCCTTCATACACAAAGCAATCGAAGGAATGCCAGAACTTGAATAAAAAGTTCTCGACGTGTTTTGGCGGCACAATTACTTCTTGGTCGAGCAGCTATCATAAGTTCCTTGTGGCGATACCGAAGGAATGCGACCACCAGAGTTTGCACGTTCAGATTGTTTTTTTTTTTCTCTTTAGCTTTGTTTCTTAAAAATGAACTGAAAGTGGTAGTTGCTTGTCGTATCATGTGATCAATACATCTGCTGCAACTGTGATATTTCAACGACATTTTCTTACGGCAGTGTGATAAAAAGTTATCATAGTTGACTGAAATGAGTTTCAATCTAACTCGAATAGTCTTAGATTTAGTATGGTGCGAACTTAATGGCCAGATTTACGGCAACTGTGATACAAGATCTATCACGGATCACCAGCGACCTTTCAAAGGCTTTCACAGCCAAAATAGCAAGAATTGAAGATGCAGTGCGAGAACGAACGAGAAAGCGGTGGATCGGACGACGCTGCTGCTGTGGCGCAGTCATTTCAGGCAAAGCGAACCAACGCGAGCACCAAGAGGACATATCAATCAAAGATCAACATCATGAAGACGTGGCTTACAGAGCGCTATCCAAGCACAGTAGCCTCGGACACATTGGTAGTTCCTCTCCCAAAAGAAGCCATTCTCGGTTTCTTCGGTCATATTTGCAGGCCAGCTCACGTTTGCGATCGAGATAACGTGGACTCCAAGGACATGCCACACCCACCGCTCTCTGCGTCTTGCGTTTGGGGATACCGTAGCGCTTTAGTCGACCTGTATCACAACAAGTTGTTGGAGATAGGCAAGTTAGTGGATACAGAGCTGAGACGGGTACTAGATGGATACGAGAAGGTGATTAACAATTTGAAGAAGCGTGGACTGATGAATATTAGGGAAGGCAAGCACCAGTTGAAGGCTAGTGGGTATGAGATGCTAGCTTTAAAACTGATGACGATAGTACCAGAAAAACGAGGACAGTCTTGGGCTACTGTACAGTTTGGATGGAGTTACTTTGTGATCATGTGGAATTTAATGAGTAGATCGGACTCTGTTGCCACGATTATGCTGCAGCATATTGAGTGGACTGATGATTGCCTTGTCATCGAAGAGCAAGGTCATAAAGGCGACCAGACCGGCGCAGAAAAGTTCGGAAAGCATGTCTACGCTAATCCGTACGAGCCGTCACAGTGTGCTATCCTGTCACTTGCTGTGCACTTGTTCTGCTGTCCAGAGAGACTTGTGGGTGGGAAGCAACAACTATTCATTGGTGATGACAATAAAAACCGGTTTGGACGCATGTTACGGCGCGTGATTAGTGGACTAACAGATGACGAGATTGACATCCTGAGCTGTAAACCGACAGATATTGGTACGCACAGCCTGCGTAAGGGTAGCAGTTCATATGCACTTAGGCAGGTGAACGGACCCACTCCAGTCTCTGTATACCTACGAATGGGCCAAAGTTTAGGAAAACTTAAGGACCGGTATATTCATTTTGGTGAAGGAGCGGATCAGTTGTGTGGCAGAATGATCGCTGGACTTCCATTCAATTCCGAACGGTTCGCTGTACTGCCGCCACACTTTCCCCCGACAGTCACAGATCAAATGACAAGCGAGTACTGGAATGATCTCGTAAGTGGCTTTGCTAATTATTCACGTGGTATCAGATCTGCATTTCCATTTTTCCTCGCTTCAATAGTGTATCACGAGCAATTTCTACGTGACACACTGAGTCCAGGACATCCGATTTTCAAAGCAAGAGTTTTCTCGTCAAACGAATTATTAAACCTTCAACGAGCGTCAGTCGTGTTGTCGTTAGGCACATCTCCAGTTTGTGGAATTAAAGCAACGGACATACCTGCCCATCTTGCTGTTGCAAAGGAGGTGAAAGACCTGCGTGAAGAGGTGTCCAAGCTCAACAATGAGCTTGTATTGCTCAGACAGGATATGAACACTAAACTACCTGATAATGTCGCGGACAAGGTTGTTGCCGACCTGATGCAGAAATTTGTTGTCAACGGGGTCGCTCCTGTGTCTCTCCAGGATCTAGCAAACCTTCGAGTTGATCTTGCAGCAGAGATTCACAGAGCCATCGGCACGATTCAAGTACCACAGGGTATTGCGACGCAGCCACCACGTGAGGTGCTGACGTCGGCTTGGCAGCGCTGGGAATGGGGTGACGGGAAGCTCGCACATGCTGTGCCGAAGGGGTGGGAATTTCCTGCCCACACGAGTGTGAAGCAGCTTTGGAACTTGTGGTTTTTTGGCAATAAGGATAGTGGTATCAGACCATATAAATTGCTCAGCAAGCAGCACGATATCAAGCGATCTCATCAGATGCGTCACTCGCGTGCTCGTAAAGTTATGGAGTACATCGTGCAGCTTACAAAACCTCCTGGCGCACTACCAGGAGAAGTGACGGACATCTCGTCGTTGCAACTCGCAGCAGCAGATAAAGTCTTCGGCGTTGTCTTCCATACGCTGCTCTCACAGTTATATTGTAATATGCCAAAACGACCAGAAGAGCTCACTTACGGCACCATTTATAATCGATTGTGCAAGCACTTACAAACGCAACAACGCGAGCTAGTTCAGCAACAAACTAACTGACATCCATATGATCTGATAACTTGTCATTTCGACCAATCCTCTTGCGTGATAGAATGTGATCTGATTCCTATCACACTTGCAGTCATTATATACATTTGTTTGGACATTCTCCAGATTTTGCAGGA